TAATATTAATAATAATATTCATATCATTTAAAAACAACGCCCCAAGAGTCAAATAAGTATTTATGTATACAAGCAAATGAAACAGAAACAGAAACGAAAACAGAAACAGATATGACCGACCAGACACATGTTCATGGGCCTGCAGAGTCATATGTATTTACTCAAACACACAAACACGCATCCATCCAATTGGAATCAAATAACAACCTGTACCACACACACATACTTAATCATACACACACAGAAACAAACATCAAAATCAACTAACAAATATGCAATGCAAATATTTTAATTGCAATTCATTCGCCCCTGCTCTGTGAGAAGCGAGATTGCAGCAGCAGGAGAAGCAGGAGTAGGAGCAGCAGCAGCAGCAGTGGGTAACGCGGGTAGAGCCTCTCGAAAATGCATAAATCATACGCACCATTGTACGTGAAATCAGCACACAGAGAGAGAAAGAGAGAGAGGATGCCAATCCCGTTGCTGGTTTCAAGTGCTTTCCACGGGTGCGAATGACTAATTGATAGATTATACTTCAACCGAAATCTCAATCGTTTGGCAATCGTTTCAGTAAGTTACTTAATTAGTTAACTAATTAGATTGTGTGAAGGATTGGTCTGATTCCAGCTGCCACTGCCACTGCCACTGCCCCTGCACTGCACTGCTGCATTGTCTTAGGTGCCGTCCATTGGCTTTGTTTGAATACTCGAATACGAATAGTTCTCATTCATACAAAGCACATTTGCCAAACGCTTCTAAATGTGAAGAAAGCAGCAAGAATAAATATGCTACACACAAAAATGAGTATAAATATACAATATAAAATATACAATGGATAAATAATTATTGTGTATTGCAACAACACCCCCCAACAAAAAGTAAGAATAAAGCAGAAATTGTAAGATATTTTGATCCAGTTTTAGCTCTCAATGTTTAACGATTGTAATATGCAATGCAATTTGTCTACAAGCATATGGATAATGCTTAAATATTTACAATATAAACTTGCACTAAAAGAGATATTTATATACATACACAAGCAACTCAATGTACTCGAACTATTTCCACTTGGTAAACCAGAACACAAAAACAAAGAGCTATCCGATACAATTGTGCATATTTTTCAGTGTTAACTCTTGAAATAATCTCAGCAGCGACTAGTTAGGTTAAAGTTTAATTCAAACTCAATCCCAGATCCCAGAAATATCAAACAATAAATACATAAGTAAGCCCCACTATGTATCCTATTGGTTTCATCGAACATCTCAACTAAAGTAACGCAAAACAATTCAATATACATACATATATGTGTTATGTAATATATAATATGTATTATGTAAAGGCAAAATGTAACTGTAGCATTTTCCATTTTTGAATGTTCAAACTAAATGCAAATGCAAAGGACAAATAAAAATCAGCCCCAAAAAATGAAACATAATCAATGCAAATGAAACAATACAATGCAAATGATGATAAAAGTACGAGAATGTATGTACATATGTATGTACATTGTGCCACCCTCGTCACTGGCCGCACAATTCAATGGAAAATTATATTGAATATGCAAATGAGAAATGGAAATGTTTGCAGCTTTAACAAAAAAATATATATACACGTACTGCGAACGTACTGCAAACGGGCATCGAAAATCACAATGAATATGTCAATTTGTTTTCAATTAGATGTGTCTCTCCTCTCGTTGTCGTAATGATCCCCCAACCCACTGCTTACCACGAGTGGCAAGCAGCACACACAGAAAAGCAAACAACAATTTGCATGTCAATTTTCATTTAAAGAACCTCCTACATTGTACATACCAGCAAATGCTAAGTCTTAAGCCTTAAGCATAATTAATGTATTAATTTGCAAGCCATCTTATGCACTCTTTCTCTTTATACACCTCAAAATACTCACTCTAGATCCTTTCTTTCTCTCTCCTTACTAACTATAAACACAACTATTAGCTTCAGTCTCTCCTTCGATCGATCCATAGGCTAGAATAATGAATGAATTGTGTGTGTTTTCGCGATTCAATTATAACACTTACGCCCAAAACTATTGTATAATTAATTAAAAAAGAGAAGGTAAAGCGGTGCGCCGTGCCCATGCCCCTAATAAGCCAGCCGCTAACAATAATTGTAAGTGTAAATTTGTTAATTAAATTACATACTAAAAACGATCTGCAGAGTTTGCAAACGAAAACGACAAAAATAAAAACATAAACAACCTAAAAATGTATGAATATAAATTGATGTGTATTTATGTCTATATAATTGCATACATATGTACATTGTACACGCGAATACATACATAAATATATTGCGATTATTTTTATCCATGTGTGCATTGCATTCCAAATGTACTGTATGAATCTAACCCCCCAATTGCTAATTGCTACTTGCCAGCATTGGAGCATGGTGTGTGTGCAAATATTGAGATGGCAAACAAGGCGACAAACAAGACGAGGAAACACAGTTGTAAAATGGCTAAAATGAAACAAAACTAACATAATTTTCGTTTTAATAATGCATTTTTCAATAAAGTGATGGTTTTTTACTAAACATAACGACTTTACACAAACATTCATTGGCAGAGAGTGGCATTTCCCCACCATTTCGCACTGCTTAACTAATCACACGCTTTACCCATCTCTCTCTCCCTCTCTCTCTCTTCACTCGCTGCAGGGTCCACCGGGCTTGGATGGCATGAAGGTATTTTCCATTAGGCTGCACTGACCGGCCGTTGTATGTTGCTTGGCTATAACCGATCTTCCTTTTTGTTGTATTCGCAGGGCGCGCAGGGCGAGACGGGCCACAAGGGCGAGCGCGGCGATCCCGGACTGCCGGTAAGCACGCAGCAGCAGGAGCAGCAGCATCCTGCCCTGCTCTGAACCACACTTCTCTGTATTTATATGTATCTACTTTGTGTGGTTGCTAATTTCAATAATTTGTGTCTTCTTTTTCTCCTTTTTTCACTGTTTTTATCTCTGTTTGCATGCACATCTCCATCTCTCTCTCTCTCTCTCTCTCTCTCTCTTTCTGTTGGCGTAATACACTGTCTTCCAAATGCTCTTTGCAACACTCTTTGACCCCAAAACGAAACCAAACACCCACCTACACACGCATACTCGACACTCTCTCTCCACTTTTGCACACACTTTTGTATGTGAAACCCACAAAAAAAAGGGCACCGATGGCATACCCGGCCAGGAGGGTCCGCGCGGTGAGCAGGGCTCGCGTGGGGATGCCGGTCCGCCCGGGAAACGGGGACGCAAAGGAGATCGCGGCGACAAGGGCGAACAGGGCGTGCCTGGACTGGACGCACCGTGCCCCCTGGGCGCCGATGGGCTGCCGTTGCCCGGCTGTGGCTGGCGGCCGCCAAAGGTTAGCATGTGATACGTTTTACACAAAAAGAACCTCAACCCAAAAACCCAACCCTTACCACACACCCCCCAATTGGCTAACAAAAAGTTGATCATTGAAATTTTGCATGCATCAGTCCTGAATCCCTTGGTTCCAGATCCCTGCTCCCATTCCCCCTATCTAGTCTATTCGTATGTATCTTTTTGTCTAACTTGGTTAACTAACTTTTGCTTTTGCACACACAAACACACACACACACACGCACACCACTAATACACTTGCGTATGAAAACGCATACAAACCGAAACTATTCGACACCCCAATGCCACGCCATGCCACAAAACGTGAACCGGATACGATGCGAAATGCGGAATAGGAGCCAATCATCTCAACGCCCGTGCACAAGGATTATTTGCCCGATGTAACACAGCCGGAAAGCAACGCCAGCGATTACGAGCAGGAGGAGGAGGACGAGGAGGAGCAGGCGGAGGCGGAGGCGGAGGATAATGAAAACGAATATGATGAATATCAGGATAATTTGCATAACAATGAGTGAAAAGGAAACAGGCAGACAAGCAACCAACCAACCAACCAACCAACCAACCGACCCAGAAAATGGCAAACACAAACATACCAAAAAGCAAACAAACAGAAACGCCGCTCACTCTCTCCCACTCTCTCTCTCTGAGAAACACACACACAAAATCCACTTACACTTCCACTTGGAACGCACACACTTAAACACACACACACACACAGGCACTCACGCACACTGGCACAGTCACACACAGAAGGCTATGGCAATGGCAATGGCGACTAGTTAAGCATTTCCGATTTCCGCTGCGAGTGAGCTTTGGTTTCTGTTTCGCTCTGTTGACATTTGCAATTAGCGTTAACAAATGCCAAGTGGATAGCTGCTGCTGCTGCCAACGGTCCGCTTAAGTAGTTGCCATTAGCATACACTCGACCGCTCATCCTCATCCTCACTCTCACTCACACACTCTCCCCCAGCAATTACCCTTTCGCCTAAACATAGATACACAAACACTATCGTAGCTTTGCTCTTGCTTGGTGATGGTTCGTGCCGCTCATTTGTCTCTTTTTGATTCCTCATCCAACAAACTGTGGCCATGTCTTGGTTAACCCATCTGTTTCAACCCAGCAGGAGAACTGGCAGGCCTGGCTCAAAGACGAGCTAAACGCGCTGCAGCATACGCACACAAAAAACTAATCGACAGTCGCAGTCCCGTTCCCGTTCCCGGTCCCCAGGCGGCAGCTGCATCGATGGCATACCGCAATATCCATACGAAGAATCTAAGCGCTTTGCTCTTAATTTTAGTAATTTGTTATTGTTAAATGTAGAAATCGAACAAAAAAGCTCTACACACACACTCTGTACTGTATAATCCTCCAATTACTATATCCTGCATCCTGCATCTGTGCCAAATTGCTCCAAAAGTTTCAACAAGTTCGGACTCCAGCTCCATGACGTGTCATTTTGGACTAAAGCAACATTTAATTCTAGATTTAATGTACCTCTATAAATATCTACGAGTATTTCTACGGCAATAAGCACAAACACCGGAATGAACCCAGCTATTTTTTACAGAAACTATTTAAAAACAAAAACTTAAATAAAAATCGAGAAAAGTTAAATGCATTTTTAAGTCGACTGCCACGAGGGTCGCAGCACATGGGACACATGCTAGATCCAGTTGAGTAATTACTTTTGAAACTTTCATTTTGATTACTCTTTCAGGAGCTTAAGGTGCTTAACGTATTTATGAACGCTTTCCTTCACATACGGCTTCAATGCGATGCAGGTGGGAATGTTCTCCGGCTGCTCAATCCACAGTTTGTGTTTTATTTCATTCTCCTTCAACTTTTCGCCGAGTTTCATCAGCGCCGCCTCGTCCTTGGCCTGATGGAAGAAATTTAATGGAATACTTTGATTATTGTCTGTCCTGTCTGCCAATGCAAATGAGTCGAATACGCACCTCCAGCACAACTTTGTGCATATTGTCGAGATCCGCCAGGTAATTCTGCGTGTCGGCATCGTCTGCATTCAAGTGCATCACGGCGGCTGTGGCATGACAGCATTGTGCAATAATGGCACCCAAGGGCCAATTGAGCGCCGAACGCAGGTCACTCCGCACCACCACATATTGCACGATATTACTCATAGTTTTTGTAGGATTTTAATAATTATTTGTAAAAAAAAAGCTTAAAACGCGGGCGGAAAACAGCTGTTGGACCGGTGATTAGTGTGCCCGCGGAATTATCGCTCAAATATACCTTTGACCCTCGAAAATATTCAGTAAAATAAAAACGTAGCTGTCAATGTAAAAAAGTAAACTAGGTCCAGAGTGGGTTTATTTCCCATTTCTTCGATTTTGATATTCCATTTAATATTACCAGTTAGTTAGGACTCTCAGTACTGAAAATATAATTTTATCCAATGAATGGATAAATTCTCCATGGGATTGGCTAGTTTTTATGGCTTGTTTTTATTGCATTGTTTACAAAATAAGGGTATAGTAAAGAAGTTGCTGCCATACTGCCACCTAGCGAGAGCGTTGCCAGACGCAGAAAAAAAGCAAGCATACTCAGGAACTCAAAAAGTGCTGCCCATCATTTGAGTTTGAATTTGAAAATGAGCGCCAGGTGCACTTAGTACCGAAATCAAACACATTGGATGGAGCGCCACTACGTCAGTTCTGCGTTACATTTTGAAGGTAAAAATGATGTACAAATGGCTGGCACCGAAAGCACTTCCGACCATATTGATATTTACGTGAAATATCCTTAAATGTTTTTGAATCAAAGAACTTGACGGACTCAATGCTCTGTTGCTCCCTCCCAATGTTTAAATTTTAATTTTTGTAGTGTAGGGATTCACATATGCAACTTTGTTTAAAGGATGCTGTACATGCAGCTTGCATTCATCATTCCCATTACCCTTAAATTCAAAATTGTTCTAACCTCCCCATAGCCCCCCCTTGATTGCTCCAAGGGGTACATTTTCTGAATACAGAAAACACTGTCATTATGCTCCATTAGCGATTGGGAGTGCTGATAACATGGCTAATCCACACAATTTGGCTGCCACTCACGACGATGGCCGTTCGCAGTTTAAGTGCTGCCTGCATGCAGTTGCATAAATTACGACGTTCCGCCTCCCCCCAGGGAGTGCCAAGGAGTGCTGCTGACAGGATTTTAATATGCATAAATTGCTGATCAAACGCAGATCTTATCTGAGCCAATCCAAAGCGAAGGCAAATCAATCCACGCTATTGTTGCAACAAGTAAAGGAATACGCACAAGGATGCGTAGATATTTGTTGATTTTATTATTGTAATTTATTGGAACACTTTACATTTACAATTTATATTTAAATTTAAATTTATGCGCCACAGATGCGAGGCGATAAACGAAGACTACACACACATAAACAATTTGACATTTGACAGTTTAATTAATTTAATTGCTGCACCAGCACCACCACACAGACGCAGGATCTGATCTGCGGATATATATTTGATATCATTGCAAAGATATTTAGTCGTTTAGTTCGTAGTTCGTAAAGGTACAGTCACGCATAAATGTGCGAGTATTTGTGTTTAAATGTTTAATATGTTTTTCTTGCTTTGCTGGCTACTCGCTTTAGGATCGGTATATAAAGTATAAATAGACAGAGATTTGATTTACTCTCTACTAAATTAGAACAATTTATTTGGGCAAAACTTGAGATACTTTGGAGAGAGAAAACAACACTCAACTATGCGTACGAGTAACAACAGCAACGACGATCGATCGAAGTCGAATTGGAAATTGTCTTCCTGCTGCCCGCACCATTATCAATCAATTAACGTTTACATATATTAAATATCTTCTTTTGCTATTTCTGTTTTCATTATAATTTCACTTGTTGCGTTCATCAGTTGGTGGCCATGACCAGTGGGGGGGCTGAGGTCTCGGTCTCCGGTCTTAGAAAGTGGCCTAAAATGTGGTCTTGCCAAAGATAAAGTTGCCGGGCGCATTGACGTCCTCGGCGGCAAAGTACTCCTTCCACAAGGCGGCAAACTGCTCGCGAGTGACGTCGGTCTGGCCCTGGGCCATCTTGCTGAAGGCCTCCTCGCACTCGTTCTTCTCCAGACCGTAGCTGGAGCAGACCAGCGTGAATTCGGTGACATCGATGCCGCCATCATGCGAGGCATCCTCCAGATCGAACATGAAGTTCATGTACGCATTCTGCCAGCCCATCACGCTGCTCGGATCCTTGGCATAGGCGTCCCACATGTTGCACCACTCGTCCACGCTGACCTGGAGGAGTACAAGAGACGAGAGGCAAGAGTCAAGATTGGTTGGGTTAAGAGCGTCAGATTTATGTATGCAACCCCGAGCCGCCCAGTGCCGAAAGGACCATTAGCTGGCCCAACCGCAGGCGTAACGACGGAGGCACATAAAACATCCATCCCACTGCCCATTAAACGCGTTATGGCCGTGTTATGTTGGGTAGGTCCTAAAGTGGTTATAAGGGGGAGGGAAGGCCACTGGAGTTCACTAGGGGGTGTAATTTATGCGTCGTGGACGGCATCTAGCGATGCGTTATTAGCATTTTGCTGTCTGCCAATACCAAACAACGGCAATTACCGCAACACAACGAGGAACGTCGACTATCGACGGCAACGCCCTGACCAACTTGGCAGCGGGTCCTGCCCCGATTGCAGTCCTCCCCATTAATTGCGGCATCTTCGACAAAGCCAAAGCAGCCGTTTCGCTTTACCACGTTTTAATATGCTCATAAATAAGCAGACAGACAGACAGAGCCAAATGTAGTGCCAAAACCAAAGCGACCTCTAAAGAGAAATCGAACTACATGGCTGCATATTTTTATGTTTATGGCCCATTCAGAGCCTTGACCCTCAATGCAAAGCCAAAGAGGGTTGGCTGGGTGCTGCGTGAGCATCTTCAATCTTTGGCAATTCTATTTTCCAGCTAATTTGAGGGCACATTCCCATTACCCCCGTGACACGGCTCGCTCTTACTTTGTGTGTGGAGAAAAGGGAAAGGAGAACAATAAATCTTAAGCCGCGACCAACAATAGTTGTGCTCTCCCTTCACCTTCTTTCACCTTCTCTTGCTGCTAAACTCCGTCAAGTTTGTTGGCCAGTGGCCAAAAACCTTTGCGGCTTTGTTGCATTTGAAGTTGCGCCACCTCATTGGGCCGTAGTTGAGCACAAAATATCCGTAACCCGTGTGCCCATACACCGCTTCAATAGAACTAAGCCGAGGTTTTGTTGGTCTGACATTTCAATTTCTGTTTACTTTGTATCCCTTTCGAAGCGCATTGCATTGCGTTGCATTTGGCGTTGTTGCGGCTTTGGTTTGCTCGATGCCAGCATTCGCCGTGTGGCGGGGAGTGGCGGGGGTGCAATAGTAGAAGGATTATAATTTAATTTGCTGCACTCTCTGCACGATTATGGCATATCCATTGTGCCAAAAGGGGAAACTTGCGCCAGTTTCTCTCCACTCTCCACTCTCCACTCTCAACTCTCCACTCTCGAGTCTCGAGTCCAATGACAAAGTTTGCACTTCGTAATGAGAATGTGTCCGCCTGGCAAAAACGAAGTGAATAAAGTCTTCCTGCTGCCAGCGGAATTCCGATTGAATTTCTCAAATAATTCACAATTCAATTTCCGCTCGTTGGTAGGGAATTTGTTTACCAGCCCGCCACCTGCAACTGACACTCCCACTTGCCACATTTCACACCAATAAAAAGTGGGAAATCTATGAAGCAATTTTTTGTCTTCTTTAGTTTTTCATGTGTGTCTGCCTGTGCCCAGACAATGCCAAAAAGTGTACGAAATTTGTAATGTGCTGGCCTTTACATGGAAATACATACAGGTAGGTGTATGTGTGTATATGTGTGTGGTCTGAGTGTGTCTGTGTGTAGGTGATGGACACTTGTCAACTGCTGTCACAATGCCATCGAGAGCAGTCCATGGATTTCAGCACTTTCGGCACTGACAATGCAGCCAGAGCCATTCAACAAAACCCCAAAAACTGCAGCACCTATCCGGCCCAGTCCCCACCACCAATCGAAACCCAGGACACTTGACATGCAGTTGCCGTTGTCTTTTTTTCTACGAAATTTACGTCACAAGAGAACAGATGGGTAAAAGGGGGGCTGCTCACCTGTCCATCGTTATCCTTGTCCGCCTTCGATCGCAGTCCAGTCCAAATTTCCATCATCAAATCGTAGGTCTCCTTGTTCTTTGGCGTGTCCTTAGCCCAGCCGCGCAGCTTGCAAACGCGCTGTAAATGGACACAACAAAAAAAAAAACAATAACCGTCAGTCAGCCCGCGTACACAAATTGAGTTATCGGGAGGAAGTTGGGTTTCGATGCCAGGGAGCTAGCAAAACTGAATGCAAATCAACAAAAAACATTTGGCCAATTCGTGCATTGTTTTTGCGCTCTCCATTGCCCTCCCGCCATTGTTCTTTTTGGGCTGAGGTGGAGCACATGTGAGGGCTTCGCTCTGCTCCGCATTTATTTGCGGCATGCAGAAACCAAATTTTGCGCAGAGTTTGCAAGTATTTTGGCAGCACACAAATTTATTCAAATTTGTTCGGTTCGGCTCTAGTTTTTTTGTTTGTTTTATTGGTTTAGTTTCCGGGGTGCTCCACTTACCTCGATGGCCAGTTCGAAGTCCTTAACGTCGATTTCCCCGCTTTGGTTCACATCTGTTTCGTGGGGGAAGTATCGTCAATTCGCATTGTTGGTTATTTTTCGGGCAATTCAGTTGAATGCAGCGAGCGAGCATAAAGCGCATGGGATGTCGACGCAGTTGTAGTGCGAGAGAAAGAGTGAGGAGTACCGAGAACAGAAACAAAAAGAGCGACGATGAACAATGCGAGCTGACTAAACGGATCTCATGGCAAATGGCGGACACCACAACGCAGCTGTGACAAAGTTCCGGCCCACGAGAGTGTGTGGGCACCGCGCTCCATTCAACAGAAACATCAAAACAGTTGCAGTCCAGGCAAGGCCTCCTCTTCCCGCTTCCCGCTTCCCGCTTCCTTCCTTCTCCTCCAACACTCCATAAACATTTGGCTTTTGGCCATGGCGGACCTGTCATTATCATTTGCAACGGTGTGCTGCACGCGGCCAGGTCCACTTCAATTTCAGTGTCAAGTGTGCGGCGCTTGCGTTTTATGACTCTTTTTCTGGCACCCACAGGGGCACTCCTGCCCTTTGTTATTTTCGGACCAGCAGCTGTCAATGACGGGGCCGGGCAACGAGCCAACCCAAAGCATTGTTGCGGTGTGTGTGCTGGGATAAGCCAGTCAGTCACACAGGTGAATTAGTAGTCGTAAATGAAAAGCACTTAACTGAACCTCACTGCGGTGCTGCACTCCTCGAAAAGTTATCCCTTTCTTTTTTGGCACTTGCATTTGCCTTTTAATTCAATTTTAAATTTTTTGTCAAGTTTTGTTTGAGTTTTCCGACAAGTTCTCGAGCATTAAAGAAGGTCATAAAGTGAAATGGTGCACTTGGCGCACTCAAATGGAATTTATGCTTGGCTCATATTACGTATACGCGATGAGCGCTGCGCTTCTTGTCTTGTCGGCTTCCCAAAAATCTAAAGAAGATGTCGCCGAAATGGAATGGCATGCGAATATACATATGTCATTCGTTTTATGAGTTGGCTGGCAGTGTGTGTGTCCCAGTGGATGATATGAGAAATCTCTTTCCCATGCCCCACATTTCCACATGCTCCACTTTCAGCACTTGTCTCTCTGATATATTTGACCCATTTAATAGTCCCCCACATTAGACAGCAACTCTCAGACAAATCGTGTGCAATCTAATCAAAGTTTTCTCTGTTTGTGAAACGCAAACGGAAGGGAAACCTTTGGCCAATAACTCGTGGCAAAGACCAATACACTGGCATCGATTGAGCTGGTTTGTCTTGAGCAACTCCATGCTGGTGGCTGATGGCTTTCGGGGCCATGGTCATACATCATTCTGGCACGCACACTAGACTCCTCTTGCACTTACCAAAGAACACGTTGAACAGGAACATTAGCTTCTTTTTGCGGAAATCGGAGATCGACATTTTGCTGGTTGTTGTTCTTCTTCAATTGTTGTTTTATTTGTGCAGTTTTATTGGCTGTGGCCTGCTGTGCTCCTAGGGAAACTGCAACGACAACAGAAAACCATAAATAAAATAGAATACTCAATTATTTGGGGGCGGACTACCCAGCAGGCTGTAGGGCAGAGGCAAGTAATATCCAAATTGGTAATGAAGTGTATCCCCGTAACGAGGCAGCTCTCAAATTTAAATCGCTCCCTCAATTAGGGGCTGTGGCAGTGCCAAGGAAAGTGCTTGGATCGTAAAATTAACAGTCATGGCCAGGAGCAAGCTGGGCAGGAGCCAAACTCAGAGCTACGGAGACTGTGCCACAGCCACAGCCAAGAGAGGGAGAGAGAGAGAGAGAACGGATTTGGTGTGCTCTAGTTGACTGGCTTAGTTTATGGGAACTAATTCAGCCAAAAAGGAAATAAAACAAGACAGTCTAAGAATGCACAAAAAAAGAAGAGCCTCGCGTAATGCAAATGCATCCAAGCAAGGATCGCAGGAGGGTGTAGGGCGTAGGGGTTTTCTCAGCCAAATGTGACACAAATGCAGGCAATGGCTTTGGCTGCCTCTTGCATCCTTTGTGTGTGTGTGTACGAGCTGCTTGGCTCATTTAACCTTCAATCAAAAGCACACCGAGGGCAGGGTGGCCACACGGGAGGAAGGTTGAGCGGAAGCTGGCAGAAGCAGGAGCAGGGGCCATGTGCTAAATTAAACAAAACTACGAGCATACCCGCACATGTGTATGTGGATGTATGTGTGTGTGTGTGTGTGTATGTGTGCATGTGTGCATGGAATTTACTGGCATCAGGCCCTGTCGAGCCATGAGGCCATCATCAGGCAGCAAATCATCAAAAGGCATGGTCATTGCCATCCATTCCTCTGAAAGACTTTGTGTTTGCTTAACTGCCATTAAGCGGGGCACGGTTGGGCGTGGCATTGTAGGTACGAGTACGGGGGCGTGGCCAGAGGCCATCACAATATTTACTTTAGTTTTACTTTCGGTGAACAGAGTCAGGCTCCCGGCTGCCTGGCAATTTATTCATCTCGCAGCGGCACGGCACGGAGCAGTCAAAGCATAATTCCACAACAGAAGGAAATTGCAGCAAGGCTGCTGTTGAGTAGAATGCAATGAGGAGACAACGAGGCAACAACGAAAGCTGTTGGCCAAGTACTGCCAATGGCTGATAGCCGATGGCGGATGGCTGATGGAACCGGCGGCACTAAAACCAAAGCATTCGTGCAATGTGCTTAGCCTCCCCGTTTTCGTTTTCGTTTTTGTCTTGTTTTGTTTTGTTATGTTTTCCGAAAATGCACTTTGCCTTGGAAATAAAATTAAATGGCATATCTCCGTAGTCACAAATTTGATGAGCTCATGAGCGTAAAATGGAAAAAACGAATCGCAAAACAAAAACTGTTACCGGAACAAGGATGCGCTGGCAGGTCAGCTGCAGGTCTGCCCAGGTCTGCCCAGGTCTGCTCTCTTGCCAAAGCTAATATTTGTTGTTTTCATTGGCGAATTGGCTGAACTTAGTGGCAAAGCGATGCTCCACCTTTGGGAGAGTGTTTGGTTGGGGGAATGTTGACTTATCGCTTATAGACAGACAAACCATCAAGATGCGGATAAATGTTGTCAACAGGGTTGTCCCTTTTCACTTTGTTTAATTGGGTGAAAGTGGGTTTAGAAGTGTCTAATTTGAAGTGCAAAATGCACCGAAAGTTAATTTAAAATATGTAAATATTTGTAGCTTAAATTTGGCATTCAAGTGTCACAATCGGAATGATTTAAGCTGGCGGAGAAAAAAAAGAACAACAATCCCTGACATACGGAATAAATGTGCACAACATTTGGAAAGAATAAATAATTGCACGATAATGAGATACATTAATAATTGAAGTTTGTATGATTATGCCGCACAATGTTGCCTTTAGTGTCACCTTCGCAATGCACAAGCACACACACACACACACACACACACACACAGGACATGCCACCCACAGCCACATCCGACTGTCACAGTTCATTTATTTTCTACGTGCGCGTCAATTAACAACAGCTGAAGGGGCACTGAGGCAGGAATTGAATAAAAAATAAATATTTATAGCCTGTGCAGAGAAAAAATAAACTCAGATCTCTCAACTTACTGGCAAAACAGAACAGAAAATGTCAAATTCAATTTGGCGCGCTTTTCATTTTCAATTTCAATTGCAATTGCCAGACGATTGGGCATTGCCTTTCATTCAGGCTGTCAAGCTGCCACCTGCTATAAGACCCTGCTGCTCCACAGGACGTACGCAGCAGCAGTTTAAGCCAATAAATCGCCTTTAATTTGCAAGTGGCGAGTGGCAAATGCAGTGGAAATTTAAAGCCTTTTAAATGGCCTGCCGTGAGTATTGTTTATCTGCAACATTAATAATTAGAGGGGCGCACAAATTGAATTCGCTGGCAGGCAGCTTACGCATACGCCGTGTAGCACCGTTTTTCCCACTGTGGCATTTGCATTTATATCGGCATCGAGTGTGGATCGGCTTTGTGAAGGCTTACCCCTCACCATTAATTACTAATACTCATGCGCCAATGCATAAAAAGCAAGCGTTGCCAGCCGCAAATGGGCCAGGCGTCTGGCTTTCGTGGCCACATTAACCAACATCGCTGAACGCTCGTTAATTAGTTTCTCTTTGAGTTTCAGTTTGGGCTCTGGAGATGTCTTTCTAATAAAGTCAATATGGCAGCGCCTCGATTACTTTTTATGGGCCATTCTCCGCATAAATATCCATCAGCAGAGTTCATAAATTTCATTATGAATACATAAACATTTTAATTGCAGTTTTAGTGGACTGTGAGCCATGGAATGGGTGACTTGATTTGATAGCACAATTCATGGAGAAAATCGAATTAGTTAGCGGGGGGAGCAATGCGCAATTTAATTTACATAAACCATTTTTTGGTTTGCTCGACAAAATCAAAACACTCACAGGTCGCACAGGAGAAAAATTGGCAATAAATTATGTGGGATTGCAAAACTCAATTGACAGTTGGTTAATATAGGAAGTGCTGAAAAGTATGCTATGTCCACAATCAAGCTGAGGGACTGACTGCCAACAATTTTCAAAAGAATTCAAATTCTTTTGTTGGCTTCTTTGATTGCAATCGAAGCGAATATTCATCTCAAAGGGGAAACGAATTTTCTTTCCTGGGATATTTAAAATATTCGATTGGAACATTGATTGACAGACAATTGGAAAACTTAAATTTGTTAAATCCCCCACTGGCCTCAGTGACCAAATGACCCAGTCGCCAATCGTTAGTCTCAGCTCCCACCCCCGTCCAATTCTCAGTCGCATTCCCTGTCCGAGCGCCTTTGATTGGCATGGACTCTCTTTCTCCGTTCCGTTCCGCTTCGAGTGCTGCGGCTGTGGCACAGTTTTTTCAACGGTCGCTAATTACTTTTGCGTTGCCGTAAATTTGCGCAGCCAATTTAAAATAATAGACAATGCAAGCGGCGGCGTTGTCGTTTGCTCTTTATCTGCTGATGCAGCTCCATGGGCGCACCGTAAAACTGCGAACTGCGAACTGCAAACGGAGCACAAGGTTCTGCTTTTGTTGCATTGTCCGTCCGGGTCCGGGTCCGGGTCCGGCCTGCTAGTAATTTCGTGTAATTTGCATTAATTTACATTTAATTTACTCTACTGGGCCGCCACAGTGACGGCAGAAAGCAAAGCGAAGAGGAGCGAAGCGAAGCGAAGACAATGCGCGGCCTAAGGCCAGCGACGCATGCCTGGCCAAACAACAAGCGCACTCGGACAGGACGAGGATCCTTCGAGGGCGAATCTGTCTGCTGTTGGCACATTGCGCTATTATTTTTGTTCGCTTCTCCCTCTGGGCTAGCAAAAAACTTTACGAGAAACTTGTGGCCGAACCGCCCAACACCACTTGCAAATTAATTCATTATGCCAGCGAAGAGGTGCAGAAGTATACAATTTTCTTTTACTTGTCCGAGTCCGCGTCCGTGTTTGTGTCTGTTCTCTCCTGTACCTTCAATGTTGCCGTTAGCGTTCCCGTTCCTTTTGAAACTATCTGCCCACTTAGCCAAGAGCACAACTCAAGGAAAACGGGGCCTCTGGTTCCTGTTGAGCCATCACCCTAGCCTCCCGTCTCCCGTCTCCAGTCACCACTTGCTCTTATTCTTTGGGGCACTTGTGCTCGTTACTTTTGGCTTGTTCTTGTTCGCTTGTTCTTTTGTCGGTTTTGAAATGTGTTTTTTCGAAAATTGTGTGGGTTTATTTATGTTGTTTTTGTAACGGGAACTCTCAGCACTAACACAGGCACACGCACAGGGCTACATGGACACCAAAATCAACACCAAAAGTGAAGCCAATTTCAGCTCCAATCGTAACTGCAACTACAACTGCATCCGCACCTGCACTCACACAAACGAAAGACTCGAATGTTTCACTTTACCGTTAGGTTCTGGGTCTGGGCTTCCACACTCTGGACTCTGGGTTCTGGGTGCTCGTGGACTCGTGTGTGCTCGGCAACGCGGTTCGCCGTTCTGTGATGCTCGCTCGGGTTGAGCCAGCGGCTTTTATACTCGTAAGCGCCCGCCCAGCCAACAGCAGCAGTCCATGTCCATGGCGTCGACGTCGCAGCTGGCATCGCTGTTGCATCGAGAACTTCGTGGGCAGACGAGCAAAGCGACGTCGTCGTCGTCGTCGTCATCATAGTAGCTCTGGGTGCTTTTTGTCATCGTGCGCTTTATCTTATCGCAGCGTCGTCGCTGTTGCTGTCGCTGTCGCTGCTGGCGTGCTGTTCTTTGAGTGTATTTGTGTGCAGTTTATTTCATTTTTTGGCCACCACGTGCACTGTTACGGACTCAGCATCAGCATGCGGCATATTTGGTCATGGGTTTGTTTTGAGATTCAACACTCACAGAAAACTTCATGCTGTGATTTCTTGTAGAGTTTTTCCTTTGAAGCTAAACCATACAAAGTAGCGAAATTAAGATACATAGTTAGGAGAGATATGTACATAGATGGGGGAGTTAAAGCAACAATTTACTGGTCAAAGGCTAGCTTGTTACTTTGTGCCAACTTGAATAAATACTAAAAAGTGGCTCAAAAATAGGCAACAAATATCTAATGTAACTTTAAAAATATTTACGAAAAATGTGGATCTATTTTTGAGAAGAATGGTCATAAATTTTAGTTTTAATAGCTTGCTGGAGAATTTTATTCAACGCAACAATACCAATTGCACCCACAACCAAAGAACATTCCCGAACTCTCCATTCCATTCCATCGTTCCCCCAAAATACACCATTGCAGTGGTGCATTGTAGTGGCACTGCAGCGCACTTCTCGCAGTGCACCACAGCATAACAAATCAAAAATGTGCAAAAGTCCTGGACAAATTTTTAGCATAGCCTTGACACACAGACAATAAAATAAGCACACACAGACACCAAAGAATATAAATATGTACGATTATATGTATAGAGCTCCCTCTGCTAAGGTAAACTGTGGGCCAACTGCGGGATGCATCGGTGGCAGTTGGCAGCATAATTTTTGGTAGCGCACTCAATCTTGTCCCAAAGTGTGGACCACCAACCGGGCAGGCAGCCAGGCAGCCAGGGAATGAACATTTAAGCAGAGCAATTTCCCGCCTGTCTCTCTCGCTTTTAATTACACGAAAAACACTCCTACAAACACATACCCTTGCACGCAGTTGAGCTCAGCTCATGTATTTCAGCTGTTAATTGTCAAGTTTTTGGCTGAAATGTCGCTGCCAATTTATCAGGCGTCTCAAGACCAGTCCACAGTCCGCACAGCTCGTCTCTCCTGCCTTGCCCATGCTGCGCCGTGTCGTTGTCGGCTCAGCACACAGCAGGCGGTCATTCGGGCACGGTCACTCGGTCAGAATGTTCCAATTCCATGTTGTTGCAGACAACAGATTTTGCTGCTGCTGCTGCTGCTCCTACAGCTGCTGCCTATTGCAGATGACCATTTTACCAATGTTTCGTTCCAGTTGGGGCCCATGCATGGCCCTATTCATGTGCGCTTCTGCATGTGTGTGCAACGCGACGATGCGTGTTGGAGTAGGCAAATGTTTAAATTTCTTTTTACCTGTTTGCATCTCAAGTGGCCAAAGGCGGTACAGCCCCAGCCAGCTTCTCCCTCTCCGTGATTGTGATTGTGTGTGTTTGTGTGAGAGGAAACGGAAGCCGGCATTGACACAGTTTGAAATTTACATGGGCCCCAGCAGTCCCTGGCTGAAGACCAACTCAAATCTTGAATGCCTTCTAGCGTTTGGCCCCATTTCTCAGCGTTTAGCTGTCCACCTATTTCATGTTGTTTTTTTTTAGTTTTCTTTCTTTCTTTCTCGTTTACCATTTCATGTCTCTTCTTCATTTTACTCTCCGCTCTTGGCCCCTGCCGCTGCCGCCGCATAAGTGCTGCCACTAAGCGTTCCGTTGTGGCTCACACACGAGTGCCTAGGGACAGGGGGGGGCAGGTGGATGCACGAGTAACCTGAGCACGGCAACGGAGCATTATTTGAAGGCAGGGCTGTCTGTACACCCACGACACAGCCCCCCCCGAATACACCTGACATGCCCCTTGAACTGCCTACAGCTGCAGCATGCTCCTGCTCCTCCTCCTGCTGCTGCTCCTTTGGCTCTCGCTGTTGGTTGCCTTTTGTGCGAAGAACGTTTCGTGTCAGCCAGCCACACTCACAGACACACACACACACACACTCGCAGTCTACCTGCCCGGCAATGGCAATGGCAACTTGATTAGACCAACATGAAATTAAGTAATTTTGCTGTATTGTTTAGTGTTTCTTCTCGGCAATGGCAACGGCAACAACAGCCACCACAATGGCCAAACGAGAACAAAGCGAATCTCGAGTCTCGAGTCCCGAGTCTGGGCCAGCAAGGAGCAGCTCACAAAAGCGAACATAGAAACCACGAAACAAACCGAAATTAATGAAAATATTTTTATCTCAGCTGCGAATGAGTCGCCCAATTCAGACACTTTCCCAGGCGCTCCCTAAAACAGTTCATAAATCAAACGAGCGACAAACAATAATAAAAGGATATCTGGCATTAAGTTTAAAAACAAAATGAAATAGAACACAATTTAAAATATATGTTTAAAATAATGGAAAGCACTTTTAGTTTTGAAATTTAAGTTAAAATGTGTTGTCTATGCATAGCCAACAAATCGTTTTACTCATTAGACTGTGATGCTCTTAGCATAATCAGCATAAACGGTGGTGGGGAGGGGGGAAACACTTCTCAAAATGCATAAACAATTGGGAGGAAACATTTCATATAATCCGCACCCAAAACGAACTCATTTTGAATTTAAATTCACTTTTGCTGAAAAACTGTGCTACAATTCTGCGACGAGTTCTAATTTCCATATTCGTTTGCCCCTTTACGAGTGCCAGAATATCCCTGGAAGAGCACCGAAAGCCACAGCCAGATGCAACTGCTCTGGCTCTGCGCTCGTTCTGAGGCATTTGTGGCGTTGCAAATTGCAGCACACTGGGCGGGGCGGGGATAGGTGAGTAAACCGTTAACTCTTCAACGCCCAACGCCCTTGTTTGGCCCTGGACCTGGACCTGGACCCAGACCTGGACGTGGACCTAGACCTGTCCCTGCTCCTGTCCCTGCCTCTGCCCCTAAGCTGCTCCTGGCCTTCCTTGAGCGTGGGATTAAATCAGCTTGGCCCTAAAAATAACGCAAGCTTGTCATGCATGGCAGTGGCAGCACCAGCAACAGCAACGTGTGGCATGGGGTGGCCGCTCTCGAGTTTCCTTCATGGGTGGGCGTGTCGCTGCTTTTCTGTGTAATTTACTATTATTTTTTAAGCACTTCCCTTTCAGGCACCGGTGCTACATACAAACAATTTTATTGTTTCTTTCATTTGGCATTTTGTTTGTGTTTGCCGCCTGCGTCTTTTCTCTCTGCGCCACTTTGTGGAGGTGGCGCCGCAGCAGCACGTGGGAAATTACACATGTCCCGTACCCCCGAAAATGTTTTCAACATGTCTGCCCTGCAATCTGCATGCATCCTTCCAGGACACAAAAAATATATCTGCATCTGTACCCATACGGCGGGTTCTCGTACCCTTACCCGCATCCGTATCCGTATCCGTAACTCTGACTATTTGTTTGTCTTCTCATTTTGTTGTTTGTTCGCTTTTTCTCTCCGCCGCTGCTGCTGCTGCTGCTGCATGTTTTGTGTGTTGGCTGCCAGATTTATGCTTTGGCAAACGGAATTTGTCTCGTGTACTACAACCCTCCCCCGCAACGTAGCGAAACGAAAGTAAAGCTTTCCCCAGCATCCATCCATCCATCCATTCATCCTATCCCCCACCCACAAATCCGAATAAGAAATTGATGACCCGAGATATGCGCTGCAGTTGCAGATTCTCCTCAGGCCAAATTGAATTTACCGCTCGGTTCGTTGATGTATCCGACGCTTGCGTAATTATTTCCACGTGCTTTGAGGGTCATTTCGGAATTATTACATTTCCCACCCACAAAACAAAGGCCTTTACTTACCTAATGCTTTTTGGCCTGGTCTGCTCTGCTTTGGTTTTTGGCTTGGCCTGGCTTTCGCCCCGCTTTTGAGCCCATAAAATGAATTTTAATTTGACCTGCCACCGGCCTGTCCACAGAGCCCCACGCCAAACATGACCCCCAATCCACACCCCCAACAAAAAATGCAGAACACTTTTTGTGTGTTTACAACCCGGAAACATTGCAAACAAAATACTAAATAAGGAATTAGAATTTTGCGAGGTTAAAGCCCAAGAAATGCTCTGTAAAATGCAAATTATTATTTTCGTTAATTTAGATATTTGTGGAGCTTACAATCTAATCTTCAGTCAACGGATGAATAAGTTTCTGACAGTTTCTAAGCAAAGAATTAGAGTCATCAACTGCTTATCTCAGAGATAGCGTTAACATGTTTAACTCTTGAAAGATCCGGCAAGTGCCCTCCCATTCAAGGTCTCATTTGAATGGTTGCTAAGTCCGATCCAATAAGTTAGAGTATCAGTGGAGCTGCAAACAAATACCAGTACATATGCAAACACATATGCAAAATAAATACCAGACCAAACGGATGGTATAATAACAATTATTGCTTCGCCCTGCCCGAAATTTCACAATCCTCCTTTTGGCTCGGACTTTCCACCCGTCCAGGACGGGGGCGACAGGACAGCGGAAGCTGAAAATTTCATTGATTTTGGCAACGGCAACGGCAAGGGACAGCGGCCAGCGGGAAACTAGAGACGGAAGCCATGAGAAAGCCACCAGTCAGCAGTGTGCCAGTCAGCACTCAGTAGGCAGTGGCCCAAAAATGTTGGTAGGCCCCAGTCCAGGAGGCCACTTGACTGGTAATTTATATCTTTGACGACCTCGTGTATGCGATAGGATTTGGGAAGGGTTGTGTGCCGCCTCTGGTAATGTGTGAGGTCTAGGCTAAGGTTATGACATACCCCCCGGCCAAACAGTGCCAGCCAAAAAATTTGTCTAAACAAGATTGGGGCTGAGTGCGAGTATGTTTGTTTTCTCAAGCGAATTTTGCCGCATTTGTATCTGCGACTGCGTCACTTTGACCCGCAAAATGTTTGTCAGATAGCAGGAAACATTTTGCCAAAAAAAGAGCTCAACGACTGATCTCTGATAAGGCGAACAGGGGGGGAGGTGGGATTTCTGTCTTATCAACGTGAAATGAAGACGTCAACGGAGGGAGAGCATCATCCATTAGGAGGCAGCTGCTGCTGTTTTGTGGGTATCTCAGGCGGAGGCTGAGGCCCTAATTGGAAATTCAAATTTCATTCAATTGCCTTGGCATCTGACAGGCCTCCGGCCACGGCCTCGGCCTCGGTGCCTGCAACTGCCCCCTTCGAGCCCCCGGCCATGCAAAGTGCAATTAGCAATTGTGCCCCCAACTGGGGAGACAGTCAGAGGCAGCAGCAGCCAGCCAGTTATTATATTTATTTGTGTTTCTTCGCGGCTTGCATCTTTCTACTCGTATTTAAACGAGCATTAGGTAATTACGGACTTTATCTGCCTTTTGGACTGTGGCACATCTCTATCTACCGACTGACTGCCTGCCTGCCTGCACTGCGGCACAATCCACAAACGATACAAGCAAAGATTCATGACATAATTTTGGTATTTAATGTTTTCTTCACTTTGATTAGACAATCTCTTTGGGAGAGGAAAAGGAAAGACAGCGCTGCGCACCGGTTTGACTTGCTGTGGGGATGCTGCTGCTGCTGCACTGCATTCGACTGCGGGTTCAAATGAGTTCGAGGCATTTAAATGTGCAGCCAAATAATTTGCAACTTGACAAGCTTATGTGTATCTGCCCCCCACTCGCGTAGGCCACATGGAAACCACAAGTTTTGCGCCACATAAAACAACCGGCAGAAGAAAACCAAAAACCAACAGAAAAGCCAACAAACAAGAAACCAAACCGCAACTTCCAGACAATATAATTTTTTTGTTGTTTGTGTTTTTATTTTGTTTTGCTTTTGCTTTTTCCGCCAACTAATTGCTATTAATAAAACAGCACAAAAAAGCGACCAGAGGCGGAGTCGGAGTCGGAGGCTTCGGCAGTGGCAGCAGGTGAGACGCTATTATGGGACCGTCTTGGGTGGGCGCTGCATGGAGCAAATCTTTGGCCTAGGCCGATCGGAATGGCCAAAAGTCGTCAGCAGCCGATGATACACTCTACACAATGGGCCCTTGCTCTTGTTAGCCCAAACTGCTTGGTGGCTGGTGGAAAGTTCACCCGAATTGAATGCCATTGTCTGGATGAAAGCTGCAAAAGGCCGGCCAAATGGGAGCTGAGCTCATCTGTGATTAGTCTTTTGTGGGGCTTCCCACACCTGTTGAACGCTGCTACCCCGAAATTCCACTCACGACCACAAAAAAAATAAAAATGGGCAAACCAATATGCACATAAAAATTCCAAAATTTATTGCAGCAGCAAGCAGGAGCAACAGCAGCAGCAGCAGCAGCAGAGCTAATTGTTTGAGTTGCCTACAATTAAACACGCGCAAATACCGAGCAAAAGTAAACACTAAACGTACTGCCATAGATGAAGAAGATGAACGAATGCAAAATACTCTTAGCATGAGACATCATAGCTTGGGCTGTGGAAACCCCCTACAGAAAGCAATGAAGAACAGACCCGCATGAAAGTTGCATTTGCCCTTTGTCATCGGTTAGAACATTAGGCCGGAAAGGTTTTTACATTTTCAATTAAACTTATGTCACTCCATGCTGTAACTGTGTGCTCTGACTATTATCCAGCATTAGCTAACAATTAATTACGATATGTTAGAGCATTGACAAGGCAATATTGCCACTCTGCATGTGTCTTATGAGTCTCTTTTTGTTTGACAAAGCCAAGCAAAACACTTGGCACTGCTGGGGCGTATTGTGTGGCATGTGGCATGCCATTGCCATTGCCATTACCACTGTCAGTGGTAAAGCAGCGGCCAGCATAAACTTGGAGATACAGGAAACGGCAGCAATGGACACCAAACACAGTGGATAAATTTGAGCACCATCCGAAGGGGCAGTATCAGGCAGTGGCAGCAGCTTGGAAACGTGCGAGTCAAGTATACAAGACAGCAGCTGCGGCAGCAACCACTTGAGGCAAGGCAGGCAGGCACTTTCGTTTTCATCTGATCTTCAGTCGGGTGGAAAGCGTCTGTTGCCACAGCCACTGCCACAGAGGTTCGTTGGTAATGTAATGCGCGCATCTTGAAGATACACCACAGTGTGGTTGCTGCTGCTGGTGGCATGCAAATGCAAATGCAAATGCAACCTGATATCGATCAGCTGTAACGCAGCTATGAAGTTGTCCAACTATCCCAACATTTGTCTAATGGTTGAGTTTCTCGAACTCCAGCAGAGTATCCAGCAGCTGATTGCCGATAGCCAGCCACATGTTGCTTGCTGCTACAACACAATGATGCAACTGCAATTGAATAACATCAGAAGTGGCTAGCGGCCAGCGGCCAGCGGCCAGCGGCTAGAGAGAAATTGCAGCCCATGCACACAGCGGACACTCGACAACATTCAAGGTCTCGAACTTCGATTTCTCTCAAGCCGACTCTCCCAGAGATCTACAGAGATCTACGTGCCCACTTTGTCTGGCTTGACTAATTCGTCCGTCCATTGCCATTGCCATTGGCTGGGCTGACCCGCAACGCTTCCGCCGATTGTCATCGCAGAGGCATGCGTAAAATTTTATTTTATTTCAATTAAATCCGTTTTTATATTTCAATTTTTGTTTTTTGCGCAGCTTGGCTGGAAAGTTCCCAGCAGAGAGCAGGGAACTTTTCCTCAAAGCTGTCTGTTGATTATTTGGTTTGGATTGGGCAAGAGATTTGTGATTTCTGCTTGCATTTTTTTGATTTTTTGATTATCCGGCAGCAAAATTTGTTCGTCATCGTCAAGCATCGAACAAACATGTACAACACGGCGCCTGTTAATTGAACAACAACAACAAACTGCAATAACAAACAGCATTGGGTAAATGCCAACGCCCACCGCCACCACAGCAGCCACCAGAAATTGACAGGCTGCTGCTGCTGCTGGCCAAGAGCAACTTCGGCAGTCAGCGTCTTGGCTTAAATGATCAATCGGCTGCACAAACAAACTTCCCCCTGCTGCAGCTTGCAGTTGTTGTTATTGGTGTTGCCGATGTTGCATTAACAACTTCCCCATTGGCTTTGTGTATGTTTTTTGCTGTTGCTGCTGGCTGGGGCTGTGGCTGTGGCTGTGGCTGTTGCACCAAGAAGCAATATGACTTATGGGTTTGTGCATCAACACGGAATTCAAGTAAGTCGCTGCTGATGCTCAGGCTGCTGTTGCTGCTGCTGCTGCTGCCTTCATCGCGTAATGAAAACGAAAGTAACTCGCACTCACTCACCTGGCTATGCTGCCAGCCTGCTCGCTCATCCCCCACTCATTCTCCCACTCGCTCGCTCACTCACTCGCAGTCGCTCAGTCACACGCTGGGCGGGCAGCCACACGCTGCATCATTCACAGTCGAACGGTAGCTGGTTGCCGCGCATATTTATGTGCATATTTAACATTAAACGCAATTAAGCTAAACACTTACATTGACATCGTACATTGAAGCAGGCGTTGAATAGTTGGCCTGCTAATCACTCACTTAAATGACGCACATGCGAGTAGGGACACGAAAAGTGCTCCAAATGACATTCGATTGAGTAGGTGAAATGAAATAGATTAGCTACAGGTCCCTCAACGATTGTGAATTGTGAACTATGCCTGTCGCTTGGCATTTAAATGAGTTTAAGATATAATTGGTTGAAAGGTTGGTTTGCCATTTCTCTCACTCACTCTCTGGACGGGTAAACAACATCACGAATGCCTTATCTAACAATCTAGTTGGGATTAAGATGCAATTCCAATTGAAATGAATCAATATTTAGCGCACATTGCGGGCCGCCGACTCATCATCATTCAGAACGCCTCTTATGCATACCTAAGCAGATATATGTATGAAAAGTGCGACCTAATTTTCCCCTTTGCTCCGCCTTCAATATTCACTGTGAATGATTTCGGACTGTGTGGCTCGGCCAACTTACCCTTTTCAATCTCATCCAACCATCGTCTGTGTCCCCATCCCCGATCTGCACACCGCACCGCACCGCTGACTATTTTTTTTTTCACTTTCGTTCGCTTTTGTTGTAACGGGCGGGGGCATGCAACACTATAGCGCTGCCAGCAGTCGACTGCGCAGCATCTAGCGAGATGTAAACGAAACGGTAAATGTTTGCTGGCAAACCCGAGCAGAGCACAGTTGCATTTTGGCGCTCGTCCCAAGCGATTCAAGCCCCATCCGCCACATCCGACACTCTCGCTGCCATCGCCGTCGCCGCGCACGCGCTCAACGAAAACGAAAACGAAAATCTGCGAGCCAGCAGCCAGCAGCAGCGACACAGAAGCAACAGTAAACGCGAATAACCGTTAATATCGAACAGCCGCAGTTAGCTTGGGCCCCTTACATAATCGAGAGAGGAGAGGTGGGGGGAGATTAGCATCTGGTCTCAGCTGGCACTTCCACTTCAATTCCCACTTCCCCTTCTACTTCTGCGCGGAATTTTTGGCGATTTTGACGACGCCCAGCTGGAGCTCTTGCGAACTGCTAATTAATGCTCAGTCGTGAAGTGAAAAGCCAAAAAGTGAAGCTGGGAAACCTCTTAAATTATTATATTTAAGCCATTAAAAAGGTCTGGGCCAACCCAAGTCTAAACCAAGAGCCAAGCCGTGAGACGCCAGTGGAAGTCGCAGTCGTAGTCCACCTCTCGTGGCACCCCCTGAACCTGAACCGCCACCCTCTGTGCAGCCTCCGCTCTGCCCAGCTCAGCTCATTTGACTGCGAGCGTGAAAGTAAAAAGCATCTGGACAGTGGACAGTGGATAGTCGAACGTCGACCGTCGACAGTCGACACCAGCATCATCAGGATACAGCGAGTCTCTCTCTCTCCATCTCTCAAGACAAAGACATCTGGCTGCTGAGGGTCAGTCATGCGGACGATGAGCAGCAGCTGAGCAGCAGCTGCCCGAGGAGCAGGCAGCGAGATCCACGAGATGAAGCAATCACAGTCGTCACAGTCGTCACAGCATCAGCTGGCAAACGCCCTGGCCCTGGCCTTGCTCCTGCTTCTGCTGATCTTTCCCAGCAGCTCAAGGCAGTTTGAGACGGGTAAGTCCGTTACGGAAAATATTTGGCTCCCAATTTATCTCACTTTTCCACTGGCAGATTGCGGCTGTCGTCCGTCGTCACGGCGAGGACCTCGAATCATATCTGGTGCGACGACAAACGAGGGCCAATTTCCCTGGCAGGCATCGCTGGAGCTGCTGCATCCGTCCCTGGGCTTCCTGGGCCACTGGTGCGGAGCCGTGCTCATCCATCAGTACTGGATACTGTCCGCCGCACATTGTGTGCACAAGTAAGTAGGTTGCAAGTCTGTCATAGTCCACCACTGATCTGATTTGATTCCTCCCCAGTGATCTCTTTAATCTGCCCATTCCGCCGCTGTGGACCGTGGTGCTGGGGGAGCACGATCGGGACGTGGAGTCGGGCAACGAGCAGCGCATACCCGTCGAGAAGATTGTGATGCATCAGCGCTACCACAACTTTCGGCACGACGTGGTCCTCATGAAGCTGTCCAAGCCGGCAGATCTCACTCGTGCCTCCAACATTAGACGCATTTGCCTGCCCTTCATGCTGGCCGAGTCGCAGCCAGATGAAACGGCAACCGTAGCAGCAGCCACAGCAGCAGCGAGCGAGGATGTGCTCAGCCAGCAGCTGGAACTGGAGGATGTGCCTGAGAAGATTGACAACTTTCTGCGCAGCGTACAGAGCAGAAGGCGCTATCGGAATGTGACTTCGCCGAGTATGAGGGAGCTCATGAACATGAAGATTCTCAGCCGAATGCGACAGGCTTTGGCACAACGCTCCTCCCCGCGAAGCCTGAGGCGTACCCGACGACGCAACGACAAGCTGATGAAGCTGGACCCCAGACCTGCTGACGGGGAATCAGTGGAGCAGAAATATCTCAAGACAAATGGGGAGCTGGACATGGATCCGCGCGAGATGGCCTTCGTGGACTGTGTGGCCACAGGCTGGGGAAAGGCCAACATCAGCGGAGATTTGTCCAGTCAGCTGCTGAAGACGCAAGTTCCTCTACACCAGAATGGCAGGTGAGTTGATTGCTGCTCCGACTTCATGAAGGCTGTCTTCAATCATCAATCGAATTCCAGGTGCAAGGATGCCTACGGCAGCTTTGTGAACATCCATGGCGGCCATCTATGCGCCGGCAAGCTGAACGGTGAGGGTGGGACTTGTGTGGGCGACTCCGGCGGACCGCTGCAGTGTCGCCTCAGCCACAACGGACCCTGGATATTGGTGGGGGTCACTTCTTTTGGTTCGGGCTGCGCCCTGGAGGGTTTCCCCGATGTCTACACCCGCACATCGTTCTACATGAAGTGGATCGAAGACACAATTGCCTCTCATTGACTGGACTTTACAATGCATAATTAAAGCTAAGGCCATAGCTATCGACCTGTATTTATCGAGTGGGGACAAACTCAACCCTAGCGCTATCGTTATCGTTATCGTTTCCGTTATCTTTATCGTTATCGTTAACTATTACGTAAGCATAGAATGTTCCCTAAGTTGTTTCCAATGAGCACAAAATAATTTACACCGAATCTTAACTCATAATATCACAGTGGGGGGAACAGTCCACAGTCCATCCATCCCCTTCTTGAGTTCTCTTGCCTGCGCCTGTGGCTGTGCCCTAAGCCTCTTCCGGTAGCTTGGGCGTCAAGCTTGGGCTGCCATCGGACAATAGATGCTGCTCCTCCTGCTCCACCTGCAGCGACGCCACAGCCGAGGACTTGCGGAGTGTGGACGCCGCCAAAGTCAAACTGCACGGCCGTCCGCCCTTCTCCGCCTGTTCCACCTTAAGGAACTGCTGCTGCGCGGCCGAGGGCCAGAAGCATACCATTAGGGCCGCGCACAACTGGTAAACGCCGGCCAGCAGCATTCCCAGGGCGGCGGTCCACTGCAGCAGATGGAAGCCCCACTTGATGCCGTGTATGAGCATCCGCAGGCTGAACGAGAGCACATCGATGTTCAGATCGACCCACAGCAGCGGCAGCACCATATCCTCAAAGGGTTCCATTAGACTGTTGAAGTTCACTTTTCCCACCACCTGATTGGCCTGCAGTCGCAGATGTGTGCCCTGCATGGGAGCGCCCAGTTGCTAGAGGGTAGAAAGGATTAGTTGCTGAGAGATTCACTATGGATGTGTGCGCGGCACTTACTGGTTGCACCACAAAGGTAGAGCCAAAGCGGGACTCGTCCGGGTTGAGTCCCTCGAATGGTACCAGCAGGCTAGGATCGCCATGCATGAAATGTGGAAAGGTGATGGCCAGTGGGATGCCTATAAAAGAGAGAAATTAAATGTGTTTCTTCATTCTTTGTTGTCAGTACTCACTGTAGTAGCAGGGCGAGACGCTGCCCACACCCTTCTTGAGGCAGCGATTGTTCTTGCAGAAGCACGAGGAATTGGGATTGCCCAGTTCGCTGTCAAAGACATTTGGAGCCATCACAAACTCGTACGCATCGATGCCATTCCGTGTCCGAGTGGTGTTGAACCTCATGGGCAGGCGACGGCAGAAGGTGCGCCGATAAATGTAGAACGCGTCCTGCGCGTTCATGTCCCGTGGAAACAGTGTGGCATCGTGGCTGCCCCAAATGCGATTGCACATCGTGCCACTACCAAGAGACGAGCAAACAGTTTATAGTTCGTTTTTACAAGGAATATAAAGGGGGGAGGATGGTGGCACTCACTTGCTTTTCGCATCGTACTGCCATTTCGAGAATCCGCGCTCTCCATTGATGCTGTCCAGCGTGTAGCCACGCGGAGAGTTGGGCAACTTGACGCCAAATTTATCCTTGCGCTCTGGCAGATTCATGTTGACAACATTGCTCTCGTTTCCCTCACGGAAAAGCTGAGACAGAAAAAGTTATAAGTTTCCCTGCACATAGGTTGGGGTTGGGCACTTACCTTCTCCATGATTCCAAAGCTGGCGAAATCAATCCAACTGGGCACAAACTTGGCCGCCAGTTGAACCAACTGATCTTCGTAGCCCCACATGTACTCGTGGACACTCATCTCGAGTATGGGTTGAGCATTCAGACGCTTGGCCACGGCACTTAACCCGAGCGAGGCGAACACCGAGAGGCTGGAGGCCAGGGTGGTCACTCCCATCAAGGGAATGTTGGGCGCACGAATGCGATCGACCTTCGGATCGCTCACGGAGCGCTCCGGCACAAAGATGTACTCACGTCGCGGCGAATAGGAGATTGTGTTGTTGGCCTCGTTCAGGGTTATATTGTGATTGGTCAGCACCTCCTTGTACACATACGGGCCGACCTCAACGAGCTTCAGCTTGGCATCTGTCCCGCCCGTAAACGCATCCACATTGGTGTAGTTGAACATGTAGACATTGATGTAGACATCAATCGGTGGATCGAGCCACAAAAGGTACAGCAAAGTGCCAGGCTTCAGGCTCAATTGCTGTGCAGAGTGGGTTGAATATTAGTTGGGATCTAAGCACATCTTTTGTTCATTACTTACCACATCCAAGATACTCTGCACTGGATCTGATATCAGGATGAGTGACCCAAAGAACAACAGGGTCATCCCAAGTGCCGCGCAGCGCAGCAGCTCTGCAATAAATTAGATCAACAGGTGAGTTATGTGTTGTCATGCAACGTCTGGCAACTGGTTTGCCTTTGCCACAGTTTCAGTTTCAGGTTCAGTTTCAGTTCCAGTATCGCAGATCGCGTGCGCCTGCCGTCTGCCGCCTGGCCTGACCTTCAGAGCGGCTTTCGGGGCAAAGATCTGCGACCTACCTCAATGGCAGGAGCCAAGCGGTAGCAGGAACCCAATCAAAAACAGAAGCAAAAACGATGACGCAGCCACGATGACGATGCCCAAAAATGTGCGAATTTCGATGTGAGGTTCAATGAACGTTCTTCGATTTAACAGGAAAACGGGCAAGGATAAGGGGCAGGAGAAGGCTATTCGACTTGTTGTTGATTCTAGGAAAAGTCAGACTCAAAAGCAAGTTTCTTTGGCCTTGTTGAGAACTATTAACAGCACGGAAGATGGGCAGGGAAAGGCGATCAATCTATGCTGCTGCTGGACACATTTATTTCAGATTTCACATTTCATATTCATACTTCAAGTGAAATATCACTCACTTTACGACACACCGACTCAAACTCGTTATCGCAGTTCTCGGCTAGCTTTGAGGCTCACCTTCCTCAAAGATTATTGGTCTTTGCACACTTGCCGCGAGTATTTCCGCATTTCCGCACTCGAGAAACCCTGGCCCCAGTCGCGGCATCCAGTCTGGGCCTAATCCAGACTATGGTCACACCCCAAACACTCACTCGCTCGCTACTCATCACCGGTGCGAGTGTCGATCATGGCCAAGTCGTTGCTACGTTTCTCTGTCATCGATCAAATGCCAAATCTTAGCCCATTTATCAGCCAGAAACAGCACTAATTGTTGCCAAAATAAGAGGCATTTCTAATGAAATAGGAACAGAAACAAGCACCTGCCCAAGATCAATGAACTGGCAAAAGCAAGCCCCTAGCAAATAGCAAAGTAAACTGGAAGGGAGGGGAGTGCAGAGTCAAACAGCATAAACACATTAACAATTTCTGCTTTGATGTCAACTTTTGGTGTCAGAAATAGGTTCAAGATTTCACAATCAAAACAAACCGCGATGATACATGGCGAGCGAGCGAGCGTTCGGCTAAAACCAGATATTTAAATATATCTATCTTTGAGAGAGGAAACGTAGGCTCACAGTGGCAGACTCATACATATCCTTGCCTTGAGCGTGACAGCAGAAATTACCGATATCAAATGGCCCCATCCATAAATTAAGCCGCAGACAAAGCGCCGCAAATTATTCTGGTGCAATGGAGAGACGCAGACGCACATCCAAAATTGAAAAAAAAAAAAAAAAACCAAATACCAAAATAGCAAAATCAAAAAACCAACAAATCTACATTGAGAGACAAATGCGAAGAGTTGTTGCATTATGCAACAATTGCATTGCCAAAGCAGTGGCCAAAGCCGAAACGACGATGACAATTTGAAAGATTGTCGAACACGAGACTAAACCCCAACCACAGCTCAGCTCTGAGCTCCAGCTCGCAGTTCGCAGCTCCAACTCTGGCTTCAGTATGAATGAAAGACAACGCTTGTCTTGCCAGTTGCCAGTTGCCAGTTGCCAGCTGATTTCAGTGATCGTTTTGAACTTGTTTCTGCCAACAGCACCAGCAAGAGCAAGCAGTGGCAACAGCCAGTGGAATAACAGCCACATGTCTCGTCTCAATATCAGTCAGTGTGAGGCGCCATGAGGCATGCCGTACAGATATATCAGTTACTAAGTATGAGCCGCTGCCGCTGCTGCTGCCGCTGTCTGGCATTGCCTCTGCAGTCGGTTTGAAGTTCAAGTTCGCTGCAATTTGCCGGTTAGTATACAAATAAAAACCTGAAAATTAAATTCATCTTAAAATGCACGCGGACATACGGGCGGACAGAGATTTTTTTTGGTTTTTTTTTCGGCTGCTTTTTTGTCTGTCTTTTAGTTTTTGTCCCGATGTTGAGTCAAAGATCGACGACGACGACGGCCTGACAGTGTCTGAGTGTGACCCACAAAAAATAAGAATGAATATTATTTTTTTGTTTCTGACAGCCGGACGTCGGACACCGGACACCGGACACCGAACGGCAATTTGTTTGAGCCACCTTCAAGAGCGTGTGAGCCAGCCGGAGAGCTTAGAGCCAGCCGCCTGCACGGCTGTGTGCGTGCGTGTCCGAGTCCGAGATCGACTTCAAGTGTGTGACTTCCGTCAAACGACAATAAATTAGGCAAATATACTAGGCGGGGAGCGGAGGTTGGTCAGGTTGGGCTGTGTCGCGCTGTGTCGGGCCTAGAGAGATATTCGCACTCGTGTATCCACAAGATACGCTCGCCTCGCACTGGAGATTCCATTCGACGGGTCTGTCTCTCTGGCTTGTGCCGATCGATCGATCCGTTTGGTTTTTTTGTTAGCTTTTTGCTGTCGTCGTTAGAGTCAGATCTCAGATCTCAGGTCTCAGGTCTCCGGTCTCAGCTCTCCTCAGTGACGATGTTTGTTTGACTGTTTGCCTGCCCGTTTGACTGTGTTTAGCTAATGATTAATCCCGCATTTGTTGCTATTTGCTTTTAATCATCACCAAAAACCCAAAAACCCTTAAATAGTCGCAGTCAAAGTCTCGCTGACAATTAGATGACTGCCAATAAGGAAAAGTAAATATGTGTGTTCGAGTATCCCGTATAGTTTACAACTTCCCCAATCCGATTGTGTTTTTATTTTGTTTTTCTGCCTGTTTCAGTATGCCTTTGTAATGGATACTCTATATACATAAATACATACATTCATACATACATTGTTGTTCCTCTTTAGATGTTCTTTTTCTTGTTTGTTGCTATTGCTTTTGTTAATGCCTACAATAGCTATTAGATGCATTGTTTGGCGTGCATTGAGTTGTAGATTGTATTGATTTATTATGAGAGCTCTGGGTAAATTAGTTAATTTGTTCTTAGGAATTTCTAAGAGCAATGCAAGTCATTCCACTGCCCGGTCAACAAGTTGAATGCTTACAAGGGACTTCGTATCTGTCATCATCATGTGGTCTCTGGCTCTGACACTGACTCTACTCTGGATATATTTATGTGTGTACTTATTATACGGGTCAATCTCGCTGGGCAATCATCGCCGCGGTTCACCTTCAGTTTTCCCACCGTGTTTATGTTGATTGAAATCATCGAACTTCATGGTAAGGTAATACGTGACATTTTCAGTCACAACCGATTTCATTTCAAATCTTAATTTATTCAAACTTAATTACATTATTGCGTCCGGATAGATCCGTTAATACAACACACACACACACACACACACACACACACACACACACACACACACATACGTACACGTACACGTACACGACGAAGACTCTACTTTGGAATTAGTTTATTTTCAATGACTTTACCTAAACGCTTTAGCATCTATCTACGTACAATGTTGATACGTATGGCAGTTATTAATCGGACTACAATTAATTAGAGAACCCTACACTACGCCCTTGGTACTCACTAGCAGCTTCCATCAGTGTCATGTTGTTATCATGCTAATTAGCTTTGCCCTTTTTGTGTTTTTGATAATAAGCTAACAAAGAGAATAAGCCTTGGCCGAGAAGAGAACTCATTGGCTGTGACAAACGAGCTCTAGAATGCAATAATTAATACAACACAAATCTACGTTTTGTTTGTTTTAAAAACAATTAATTAATTCACAAAAAATATTCTATTTTTGGCCAAAACTCGTGTGTGCAAATGCAAATGAGCGGCGACGTACACTCTCGGACTTGAGATCCGATCCAGATCCCGTTTCCCCCGCCTAAGAGCCAACAGCCAACAGATCGGACATAAATTTAACTGAATACTTGAGCGTGTGCCAGCTGTCATTAATTTGGACAAACGACATGAATAAATGTGGGAATAAGTATGTGTACAATTTGCATTAGAACTACTTATTTCGGTAGGTGCTAATGTTCCCCTGGGAATGGGCTGAGGGAAGGGAGAGACATTTCCAGACATTTCAAACACTCGAGAGATCTGCTTGATTGGCATGCAAAAGCGTTTAAAACTTGCACAATTCCCTCTGCTTAGCTAACTTACTATCTGTATCTATGTACATTTCAGCAGTTTTCAGCAATCGAAGCAATTTGAGCAGTTTTGTGCAAGATTTTTTCGTTGTTGCTATTTTGCTGACGTTTTTACGATCGCGTGGGGGCAGTATGGCTGGCGGACTGCCTGGCTGGCTTTCTGGCTGCTCCCTTGGCTGCTTAAGAGGCGGCTCGTATTAACGTTTATGGGCCTTTGGCTTTGACCAATGTGGACAACGGTCGCATGGCTTAATTAAGAGTCGATCCAACCACACTCGAGAGCGGCGTTGCTTTGGCTATTTTCGGTTATATAGTACTCACTTGCATTGCGCTGGTTTTTGTTGGTAAATAGTTTCATTTCAGCACTTTGTAAATGTGTCTCTGACCGTACGAACGAACGAACGACTAACTGACCGATAGACCGACAGACCGGGTTTATGTTTATGTGACTTTTCTCAAGCCGATTGCACTTGATGGAAAGGAAAGAAACTGAACTGAACTGAACTGAACCGAACGGAATGGCGCTCTGGTTTCGGGATAGGGGCGGTATGTGATATCGCAACCGCTTTAAAATTGATTGGTTATTTACTGATTTATGACGAAAATCAATTAATCTTTGTGTTATTATTTATGGCCGCAAATTAAACTATTAACAGGTCTGCCGATCCAGCTTTTGATTGAGATTGAGATTGATTCAGACTAAAATTCCGATTCCTATGCCGTTACCGATTAAGCGCTGTGTGGGGATTCAATTTGCATGGCCCCTGCAGCGGATTAATTTGTTTTGATTTTCATATAAATATGATTCGAATTAAACGGCAATAAACTTGTCGTTATACAAAAAATATGAATTATTCCTGGCTATATTTTCTGATTATTTTTACACTTGCTGCAACGAGTGTCCCGATTCGATTCGATCCGATCTCATCTGATCTGATCCGTAATGTTCCGAACATCAAATCTGATCCGTCTAAGCTGATTTATTCCTACCACGAGGGTTAGGATAGAATAATCCGTCCGTCCGTCGGTGGCTAGTGTTTTGTTTTGTGTTTTTGTCGCTGCTGTTAAGTTGTGATATTGTTTTGTTTTGAATCGACTGTCACGCACTTCCTATTCCCACAATTTTTGACAACTTAATGCGGCGATCTAGACTGCAGTGGGGACCTTTATATGGACTATTGGGCCGAGCGGAGCGTACCCGACCCCATTCTCCGCCGCCCCCCAAGTCATAGCCACAGCCACTGGCCGAACGAGAGCGACCCGAGCACCGATCGAGTGTTTAGCAGCGAGCTGGCGTCTAGCATCGAGCATCTCTCGCTCCAAAGCGCGAACCGGTCCACATTCAAGCCTCTGCCGGGCTTCGGGCTTGCGTTCGTGCTCGTGCTGGGGTTCGGCTGCGGCTCAGGTACGCGTACGTATCACACACGGAGGAACACGCGAGTTGTACACAGAGAAAACATCGAGGAACATTAAGTCTACATGTTCTGTGGCAAGAAATCCCCCAACTGAGGTGCGGGGCAACACGCCTTGAGTTAGCTAGAACGATTCTGAGCTGTGGAGTGGAGTCAGTGGAGGGAGGAGGGTTAGGTGGGAGATCGCTTTAGCTTCGCAAATTGTTATTTCATATATTTAATGGCCACAAATGACTCTATTTAATCTCTGGGGCTCGAGCCCCGATATGTACAGTGAACACGCACACGTGCCCGTGCCCTTTTCTCTGTGTATAAATATGCATGAAGTTTTTGCCCGCAATTAAAAGCCACTTCTTGGCGCAATTACACATCCAGTTCTGATTCTTAGCAGATAATAACGATTAGCCATTAACTGGCTGTTCTGATAATTAACCATCCGCTATTTAGTTTCGATACTAATTGATGGTGTGCACTAGTACTAGTACAAGTACAAGTACTAGCACTGGCACTAGTACCCAAGCTCGATCACCCGATCGCCCAAGCTCGCTCTAAGACCACTGGCTAACAATACTGGAGCGACAGTAAATCTAATAATAGTGTCTACTTAATGTCTCGTTAGTTGCTGACCTATTTCCCTTCGAACATCAAATGGAGCACAGGCATCGAGGGAACCTTTGAGCGATCGATGTGGTCACATGTCACCGAAGCCGGTCAGCCACGTGCGTGCTCCGTGCTGGACCCCTAACAGTTCTCTGTGCTGTCTCTCTCTCTTCCCTCTCGATTATGAGCATTTGTCTGAGAATTGCCATTTTCTTTGTTTTTTATTGCCCGCGTATTACCCGGAATTGTGTGGCGATCTGTGTCTGTGGCTCGCTGTCTGTGCCGTCTGGACTCTTGGCACCACAAACGTCAACAACTCATATGATCTGATCCCGAATGTGCTCGGTTCAGGCCACTAACTATCACTTGACATGCATGTCGCCATTATCCCCAACGTTTTGCTGTAGCTCCCCCCAGATAATTGTTGTTGTTGTTCGTTTGTTTATAGCAGCTCGTGCCGCAATTATGGCCTATCACAAAGTCCCCCTCGCTACCGACACTAGACGCTTTTTATGCTTTCCAGGAAAGTTCTAGTGCACCCAATACAAAAGCTAGAGCAGAGAGTCGAAAGGTGTGCATGTCCTGGCTGAAATGAGAGCTTTCCTTTACGAGCTTTTGTGTATTTAGCAATGCTGAAAGGATGACAGATCTATGCTCTCTTTTGTCTTTGTTTTCCATCAGCTATCTCCCAGAACTTCCCATTCCAACTTGAAGTCTTTGTTTCACACCCAAAAACCAAAGAACTAACAAGTATCTATGAATTTAAACCACGCTAAATATTGACTTTTGCTGTGCTGTTTATATGTATTCCTTTGACATATGTGAACAAACCTTTGACCCCTCTCCCTCTCGCTGTCATACGGAAAGTGGAAAAATTCAAAATACCACGAATTCGACTAGCCAGTTAGTCAGAGATGTTGGATATAGAACAATATTTGCTTGAAAAACAAAAGTTGTTATTTAGCCGTGAAATTTTGAGGTGCAATTATCATTTGGTTGCAAATAAAGTCAAACGATTGTCTACGATGGGCAACCTCTGGCCACTTAGCTCTGCTCACTCCTCAAGGCTAGGAAAGCCCCCAATAAGCTGGCTGAAGGAAACGGAATGTTCACGAAGCCGCGAGAGAAATTTTGTAAAATACAAAATTTAAGTAAATAAGAGGGGTCGCATACATTAAACGCTCAATTAAAGTAAGTAGTTTCTTAACGAGCTGCAGGGGCCAGCGGGGATCATCCCAGAATCCCAGCCGCACGCTGGATTATTAACATCTATAAACAGACGAAAATTCTCAAAAATATTCTCAAGTTTTGAGCTCAAATTGGTAACTGGCATGCAAATATACGAGTTTATTCCACTATGCCATTATGTACCCAGAAATGAATTGGCATGGGCATGGCATGGGAAAAGGGAAATCCCAGCCAGACATGCAATATGTGGAATGGGACGCTGTCCCCCCACAACTATAAATTTAAAACTGTATTCGACCAAAATACGAGCCACTTTCGCGTAATTGCAGCAACTCAGACTCTTTGCCTTTGCATTGTCTTGACAGGTTTTCGATGACATGGAAAGGTGACAAAAGCGTAGAGACACAGACCCACTCCGCAGAGAACAATGAGATGCATACACCATGCAACGGCAGCTCTCAATGCGGAACTTTGCGCCGCTGACATCCTTGAACCAGATGCCGGCCGACTGGCTGCTCTAGGGCTCTTTTGCTACGGGCCTTCCCTGCCCCGTAAAAAACCCAGAAATTAACTCTGGACCTTGATTGGTCTTTGTTCGCTGCACGAGTAGACAGACGACTAAGTGTTGAACGGGGTGACAAGGTAGGCATATGGGAAGCTGGCATTTGTGGTAGACTGACCTGCCGTGTTCAGGCTTGACTGGATCATAGCTCCAATTATTAGAGGGGGCAGTGGGCGGAGGGCAGTGGCAGTGGCAGTGGCAGTGGCAATCAGCAGCGGTTAATGGAACTAGAACTGGAGCTAAACTCTCAGGCAAACAATGAGGAACCAACAATGTTGGATGGCAATTAGATTTAAATATGAATAGCTACCGCCCAACCGCAAATGAATAACTAACAAGTTTAATTGGAACGATATTCTCAGCAACAACAGCAGCAACTACAGCATTAATACGCAGAGGTATCCACCATAGAAAGCGACCCCAGAGACTGGCCAGGGGCATGACAGAAAAGTAACAACAACAAAAAAGTAAATGCTGGAGCGATAATTAGCTAGAACGATTAACAAATATTAAGTTAATAACATAAACACATAGAAGTGGTCGTTAATGTGACGTCACACGTCGCAAAGCGCTGGAATGTAGCGAGCATTACGTATACGCACTCGGACACTTTCGAACAGATTAAAACACGCTCGACCGCTCGGGGAAGTGCCATGGAAATTACCCTACCGTATTGACCCCAAATTAGACGGCAATGCAAAGTCGAGCAGTTTATGCAACGCCAATCCCGATGCCCCATGGCGTTTGCGTCGCGTTCGCGTTCGCGTTCGCGTATCGCAATTAGCGTCGCCAACTAAGCCAACAGTTATTAAACAATAATCAAAATATTATAATTAATGATAGAGTTGCCAAGCGGCAGGAGCTCTCTCACACATAAATCAATTGTACGAGCGACCTGGCTGTCTGTATGCAACATTCAGGTGGGAGCAGCAGGCGCTAATCCTTCTTATCGAAAATTTGTCATTTATTCATTTATGCGTAATTCTGTATCTGTGGCTCTCTAGATATCTCGTTAGCCAACTGTCATCATTTGTTAGCGCTCAACAATCTCCGTGGTGCCCCCACTCCCCGCCTACCCATCCAATTGCCCCTGACCCCTGCCTGTCTTGCTGGCATTCTCATTCTAATTTCCATTTCCATTCGCATTTTCCGAAAACAAAAACAAATACGAATCCCATTCGAATCGCAGTGCCACTGCCACTGCCACTGCCACACCCACTCTGTGACACTTTTCCGTTCCAGCTGCTGCTGCAAAACTTCAAACACAGGAGCTGAGCAGCCACATAATTATCTTGCATATGAAAATATTTTAGAGGCTTCGCTCGGTGTTCGGTTCGCGTTTTGTTTTTGCTTCCACAATTTCCGCTCGTTTCGGATTTGTTCTGCTGCTTGTGGACGTGGTGGGCGGCGGCTCTGGCCACGATAAGCACAGGCCTCGTATCCTTCTGCATCATGGCACGCGTCGGTTACGGCCCCTATAAATACCTGTTGCCAATGGCTTTTGGCCAACATTTATTCACCATTTCGTCCGCTGTTTACACACTCCGCTGCCGGTGACCAATTGCATTGTGCAATCTCCCTCGCTCTCTCATTGTGTGATTACATTTCACGACCATTTGCTAAATACTCAACTGTGTGGCGGTAATTTTGACCAGGTAAGAACGGTTCTGGCTTCAAATTCTCCTAAACAAAATAAAGTCAAAGTTCTCGAGAGTTCACTGCGTGGAGTGTCGTTAGCTGTGTCTATTTTTAGCCACTAGGAAATTAAAATGTGAATCTTTGTTCTCTGAATTAGCCGAGAAAGCAGTATAAAATGCTTAGGTTTCTCAGGCAGTAAAGTAAAGTTCTGATTCGTAATTGCAACGCTTCGCATGGGTCCAGAGTGACCTTAGGTAGCAGCTAACTGATATGTAATGGTTGTAATTATTAGTTATAGCGCTGCACCGTTCGTACGTCAGTACGGAACATCCAAATCATGGGTTGGGATACCAGAAACGATCGTCAGCAAAAGCAAAAGCAAAAGCAGAGGACAGAGCACAGGCCGTGCGCCCCTTTAGCTTGCTCACCCCGTGACTCCCTCCCAGCCATAAATTATCCGGCGAGAATGGCAGTTATTAAATGTGGCCCTACGAGGGCCCAGCCCCAACCCAACCCAAATGGATTAGTAATAGGCCGCAATGTCAATTAGCTCATAGTAAATAATGTTATTTCCCCTCATCGTTTCTCATGCAAATTTTCCACTTCCACATCTCTCCAGCAATTTTGCATCATGTCCAATACAATGCGTTGCATTCTGATTGTCTGCGTGGCACTGGCACTGATCGCCGCCGGCTGCAACGTGGAGGCATCCAACTCGAGGCCACCGCGCAAGAATGACGTCAACACCATGGCGGATGCGTACAAGTTTCTGCAGGATCTGGACACGTACTACGGGGACAGGGCACGCGTTCGCTTCGGCAAGCGAGGCGGTCCACTGATGGAAATGCTGCGAAATCGCGAGCTGGAAAACAATATGCCCAAAAATCTCAACAGCGGCGGGGACTTGGTAAGCAAAAGAGAGCGAAACATTGACAGAAATCTCTTTAATTTCTCACTCACAGATCCGCGCCCTGGATGACGAGGAGATATTCTAAGCCCAAGAACCGCGACGACGATTTAAACTCATTTATTTGTTGTTACTCCAATTGTTTATACTATTATTTGGTGCATCTTTTTTGTCGGGGCAATAGTTTAACGCATGTTGAGAAATTTAGTTGTAGTTGCAGCTGCACACCCAATACTTACGGATAGATATATCTTCCAGCTCTAGTCTTGATGTTAGTTGAATAAATGACACGTATGAAATATTCCAAGAAATTATTCGCCACTTGGTCGGAAGCAATCGAAATATACTGCAAATAAACTGCAAAGAGGAATTCATTGTTTTTCTAAGTAAAATCGGAAAAGGGAAAGCCCGAGTTTTTAGGCAACAAAACTAAGGATGAAAGCCAACAGGTGAGGGCTTACAAGAGAAGGACATTTGTGTACAAATAAAATCGGGCAGAAGGAGGGTGCTCGAATGCCCGAATTTATGGGAATACATGCATTCCGCTCTCATTCCGTTGCCTACTTTTCTGGCCATTTGCTTAAGTAATCTTTTGCATGTAATTGCAGCTCTTTGTGGGAGACACAAGCCATTAATTAGATCTTTGGACAGCAGCTTATATCTATATAGAGGATAGCGACAATTGGGAATTTCTAAAGGCATTCTTTACTGGTTGTTTGAAAAGTTGTAATGCCATTTATCAGTCTCAAATGAGCGCAAATCTCTACCTTTACGCACTGCTTAGATTGTTAAAAATGCCTCAAGACTTGCAGAGCCTGCAAATAGGGTTACAAATAATTAGTTCATGGACAGATTCATATCCTGCTCTTGCTCTTACACAGCGGCAGAATTGCCATGGCCAAGAGAGTAATCTCGCAGTGCTCCTCAATACTTGAACCGACAATGGTCGTGCCCACAACAGCGCCCCAGCGGCACCACATGAGACTGATGCACAGAGCCTTTGCGCGTATGTAGGTGGGCACAAACTCCAGCAGGGCGCCGCCCATCAGTGAAATCATCAGGCCCGGCAAGGACACTAAGAATACCAAGCAGAAGAGCTGAACATGATGATTGGCCACGAATATCAAAGCAAATCCACAGGTGGAGGCAATGAGGAGGGAGATGACCAGCAGACCCTTTCGTGGAACATAGAAGAGCAAAAGCCAGCAGATGTTGTACAGAATGATATAAGTGGCGCCCAGAATAAGTGAGTCGTAGAAGCTGTGCAGGTCATCGTTGCACACCTAAGGGAGAGGAGGAGGGGCTGCAATGAATGAGAGTAACATAGAGCAGAGCAGCGAAATGCTAACGACAAGAAGATCCTCTTCGGTTTCCTGCATCAAGCTGGGATTATCCTCGAAGAGCAGGCTGCACAGGGTCATGTGTTCGCTGGGTCCTACGCGCATATTCGCACGATTACGCATCGAAGTAAACCAAATGCCCAGACCGTTGGCTCTGTAACGGTAGAGGGAAAGTAGAGCGGAGAGGAGTCCACTGGCAAACACTCCACTCACAGCAATCCCATCACAAACATAACCGCACAACCGCTGACAAAGTAGCCGACAAAGGGCTTTCGGAAGAGTGGCATCGCATCATTGAGCATCGTGCCGAGGATATTGTTGGCATTCTTCTGCCGCTTCACCTGCGCCTTCTCCTGAAACTTGAGCATGTTCTCCACCTGCTCTGGGGTGAGCGGACGACCGGTGTTCTTTCGGCACACCCAATCCATCACGTCCATGCCCTTCTGCGTCTCGCCAATCATGAACAGGAACTTGGGGCTCTCGGGCATGCGGAGCAGCAGGAAAAACGCCAGCACTCCGGGCAGCATGAACATGCAGCCAAGCAGACGCCAAGGTCGCAGCGTCAGGTCGCCCACCAGCTCTATCTCGAAATCCATGTAGGCCGTACCCTCGAACAATATGCCCCACGATGGGCAGTACAGCATGGCGAAGCCCGTGAACATGTACAAGTGGGTAACGACGCGCGCCATGATCTGCTTGTTGCAGAACTCACTGAGGTAAGTGACGGCCACAAAGCTCGGTCCGGCCACGCTGCACATGATGAGGGACATGATATGATTATAGCTGCAGCTGGCAGGGAAGAATATCCAACTCACAATATGCCCGTGACAAAGCGCATGACGTAGAAGCCGGAAAAGCTAACCATAAACATGGAAATGATCGAGCAGATATTGCTCAGCGAAATAGTGCGCAAAAGGATCCAGCGGCGACCCATTTTATCCGTTATGTAGCCCCAGAAGTACGAGGAGCAAATGATGCCCATAAAACCTGCAGCCATAATCGAGGACAGCTGCATCAGACTCATCCGCAGATCGCAAACAGAAGCTGGTCCAATTATGCCAATGCCCATTGTCTCCAGAATGGCCATCATCTGCAGCAGGCCCAGGGTCAGAGTGGCAAACAGATGAACCCTGCCGAAGCCTAAGTGTGTGTGAGGGACTCTTAGTTGTTCTTCAATGCACATGCATAGAGCTCCACGTTACCAATCTGTTCCATGACAGTGTCGAACTCGGTCAGCTGCTGATTCATTCTGTAACCAAATCCAAGTACGAGTCCAAGTTCTCGTTGGAGTCTAAATACAATTTCAATTGACAGAGGACATCGCTCTGCTTTCGTTTTATTTTGATTAGTTTGTCAATGTCTCTATGCCAGCTGAATGTTCTCCACCTCCTTGATGAGATCCGTGTGCTTGAACTCATCGGGGCGCTTGGTGAACGTCTCCAGGAGCTTCATCTTGCTCTCGTCCGTCTTGTAGTAGAACATCTGCAGCTCATTCGCCAGGCACTGGGCCTCCTGGGCAGTCAGCACCTTCGAGTCGTACTCGCCACGCATCAACACCACGCCCTTGTCCTGCACCTCAGTGTAGTGCACGACGGTCAGGCATTCGGGTGCATTCTCGTGGTGCACCTGGTACGCGAGCAACGGCGTGAAGTGGACCGTGTTGGCTGCAAACTGCAGCAGGAAAAATTCGAAGCCCTCGCTGCGCGGCAGTGGCAGCAGGAAAATGGGATGCTCCTTGGCGCGGCACATCAAGGTGTCGTATTGGGCCGTGGTCAGGGTGGCCGCCAGAACCTCCTTGGTCTTGTGGTACTCGATCCAGATCTGCGACAAATCCTCGGCGCTCTTATCAGCCAGCAGCTCCAGCTTCATTATGTCCGACAACTTCTTGTGCGGAAGCTCGGCAGCGTCTTGCTTCTTGTCCAGCTCCTGCTTGGGGTTCAGCAGCTCGGAATAAGACCTGCAAAATGGTCAATCAATAAATCAATCAATCAGTTATTGCTGCCCACTGTATTTGCACTCACCTGGCCTGGCTTTGGCCATCCTTAATGGGATTCACCACGCGCTCAACACGATCGAGAAACTCCTCGGCGGATGTCTGCTGTATCTTGGCAATCTTCTCCGCGTACTTCCAGTAGTAGGGATTGCTCTCCTTCAGCTTTTCCACGGCCTCCTCGGCGGCGCGACGTGTCTGCGACATGGCAAGGCTCCGTTTTAAGGCTAGGTTATTATTTTGGAGAACGCGAAACAAAAATTTCCGGGCGCATGCCATTTCCAGCAAAAAAGAAACAATTTTTTATATAGAGATTACACAACAACAGCTGTGTAGAACAGCTGTCACAGACAGTGTGATACAGAATTTATCGATAGGATATACCGAAATATTCCTTCAACTTTGCAAAATATTCCGTAAATATACCGGAAGTCTTAAATTATTTCCTTGATTATGATGTTCCATTTGATATGACTAGCTAGTTAAGAGTCACCACACTTAAACTATAGTTTTATCCGATTAATCAATCAATTATTCATGAGATTGGCTTGTTTGCATGAGTTCCTTTTAAAGGTAGGGCTACAACTAAAACGGGCTGGGTTATTATTATGAAGATAAACCGAAAAGTATACCGAAAAATACCAACGTGATATTTTTTCGTTGATATGGCACCACGCACGCGGGCTTTTTGAACTCCAACTCCTATTGCGTATGTTTTATTAAAATATTTTTCAATTGCCTGTTTAAAACAGTAATTCGAAAGCTAATATATATGCTTGCCTGGGCGAGTTTAACAAATTTATTGAAGACTTTTGACATTCCTTTAGCATTGATTTGGTTAACAAATGAGTCCAATAGACCGGTGCAGTTCATGTACGAGTAAATATACATGTGCAGCAGGGATGCGCACGCAGCTGGATTTCGATTTATATTTTAATTATTTATTGATGCTCAACACCAGAATCAAAGATCCATCCAACTGGGCTAAATAGGACACCCAATAGGGGGTAGATTTATGCCACTTGGCTGCCATCCCTGGCACCGACTTGCAGGGGTTTAAATAAAGCTATATAACGGCAACCGACACAAGGTGCACTCACATTTAAGCTATTCCTCGCGATTCGCGGCCCGTGAATCGTTTAGCGTTTTGCATATATTGCACGGGTTCCGTTCTTTCATGATATTTGCAGTCCGCCAGCGCCCCAGCGCCCCAGCCCCCCCAACCACCACCCCAGATCGTAAATCTCAGAGATGGATTCTGACATTCAAAAGTATTTGGCCAACAAAACAGTTTTCCTCACGGGTGGCACTGGATTTTTGGGCAAAGGTATTTCCCGTTGCCACTGGACAAGTCCTAAGCCTAAGGCCCCTTCCTTTCAGTTGTCGTTGAGAAACTTTTGCGTAGCACAGAGGTGAAGCGAGTTTATATACTGATCAGACCGAAGCGTGGCGTGGAGATTAAGGAACGCATCATCGTGTGGTCACAGGATCCTGTACGTACTGACAAACCATAACAGAAGGTTCTCTCATCCAAGACTCCCCGCCAAAAAGGTATTTGAACCGCTGCTGAAGACCAGGCCAGAAGCACTGCAACGAGTGTGCCCCATCGCTGGAGATTGCCTGGAGCCGGACCTGGGCATAAGCGACACAGACCGAAGCCTGCTCTCAGCAGAGGTGCAAATTGTCATTCATGGAGCAGCCACAGTGCGGTTCAACGAGCCGCTGCACGTGGCACTGGCCATCAACACTCGTGCCACGCGACTCATGGTGCAGCTGGCCAAGCAAATGCTGCAACTTGAGGCATTTGTACACGTCTCCACGGCATTCTCGAACTGCGTAATCCATCACATCGAGGAGAAGTTCTATCCCGAACACTTGACTTGTAATTCCGAGAAGGTTTTGGAAATGTGTGACCAGCTGAGTGAGGAGCTGACGAACAGCATGACGCCTGCCCTGATCGGATCGTATCCCAATACCTACACCTACACCAAAGCCCTGGCGGAGGATGTGATACTGAGAGAAGGGAGTGACCTGCCCATCTCCATCTTTCGTCCAGCAGTTAGTAAGTAATTTGGGGGGCAGTTATAACCCAATTTTGTGTTCATTCATTTCCAGTCATTGCCAGCCACAAGGAGCCCATCTCTGGATGGATTGATAATCTCTATGGACCCATTGCCATTCTCTTTGGAGTGGCTCGCGGAGTTCTGCGCATCGCCACCATCGACGTGAAGGCCCAGGCCAGCTTGGTGCCCGTCGACTACTGCGCCAACCTGGCTCTGGCCTGTGCCTGGAGAACCGCACAGACTGAGCAGCAGGAGGGAGTTGCTCCGCCGGCCATTTATCAACTCGCACCCACCGCAAGGAACTGCCTGACGCATGGGGAGTTCAAGGATTATGCGCTGGATGGACGCCAGCAGTGTCCACTCACAAAAATGATTTGGTATCCATTCTTACATTGCATCACCACGCTGTGGCTCTTTCCCCTTGCAGCCTTCTTCTATCACACCCTGCCCGCCTATGTCTTTGATCTGGCCCTCTGGCTGAGTGGCCGCAAGCCGCGACTGGTCAAAGTCTACCGCAAGATACACAAAACCCTGGGCATATTGGGGCCTTTCTCCAGACAAAGTTGGTACTTCGATATGCGGCAGACGAATCAGTTGAGAGAAATCATGTCGGAGCAGGATCGCAGCTTGTACGACTTTGACATGGCGAGCCTCAACTGGAAGAAATACTTTGAAAAGGCGCTGCTGGGCATACGCATGTACTTGGGCAAGGATCCACCCACCACAGAGTCAATAGAGCAGGGACTGAGAGTGATAAAAAGGTACTAATTTAATCACTGTAAGGTCAACTTTTCGCTGCTGCACTTTGCTTTCTACTCTTAGGCTAAAGATGTACCACCACCTGCTGCAGCTCAGCCTCGTCTGCCTTGCTGCATTCATTTTGTATTCGCTAATCAAACATTTGGCAGTGTGATACTTGACTTAGATTTTAGTATCAATTATTTATGGTTTTGTGTGTGTTTCGAATAAAGTAACCAAATTTTGCGCCCACTCGTTGCCCCCTTTCTCGCATCAATTGCATTATGTTCCTGTTATGACTTGACTAAAATCAACTTACAAGTGCACAAAACTGATTTTAATTCTGCATTCCGCTTCGATGGCTGTGCTGGCGTGGCGTTAAATGTGCAGACTGACCTTTGTGGGGCGGAAATTATATATGTCCATATAAAAGCAGCACTAGTCCGCAATAACTCCTCAGTCTGGTCTTACTTCTGGGCGGCGAACAAACTAATTTCTAATCCGTGGTCACCATGAATTCCGACATTCAGGGATTTTACAAAGGCAAAACCATCTTCCTAACCGGTGGCACAGGATTTTTGGGCAAAGGTAGGTCCACCACCACCCATCTAACTCCTTTTCCCATATTTTTTTTTGTGGTGGAAAATTAATATTAATATATAAAAGTCCAAGAATCAAGTGCAAATTTCTTGTGGTTTGTCTTTCAGTTATCATTGAGAAGCTTCTGCGGTCAACGGAAGTGAAGCTCATTTATTCCATGATGAGATCCAAACGCGGTCAGAGCATTCAGGAACGTATGGCCAAAATGGAGACAGATGTGGTGAGTAATGGAATCCTGTGGAATCCCCTGTGAATCTTGAACTCATGCCAGTGAACCCAATCCATGTAGCTGTTTGCGGAGCTCTTGAAGTTAAATCCCGATTCCCTGAAGCGCCTGGTGCCCATCGTTGGAGATTGCCTGGAGCCGGACCTAGGCATAAGTGCGGCGGATCGCAAGCTGCTGGCAGCTGAGGTGCAGATCGTCATACACAGTGCAGCCGCAGTTCGCTTTGACGAGGCACTGCACATGGCGCTGGACTTAAACACCCGCGCCACCCGATTCACTGTGCAGCTGGCCAAGCAAATGGTTCAATTGCAGTCCTTTGTCCACATATCCACAGCCTATTCCAACTGCGTGGTGACGAACGTCGAGGAGAAGCTCTACCCCGAGCACCTCAGCTGCAGCTCCGACAAAGTGCTGGCCATCCGCGAGCACCTGAGCGACAAGCTGATCGACGACATGAGCCCCGCGCTGCTCGGCCGTTACCCGAACACCTACACATACACGAAGGCTCTGGCGGAGGATGTGATTCTACGGGAGGCTGTCGGTTTGCCCGTCTGCATTTTTCGCCCAGCAATTAGTGAGTGTTTTTCCCGCCCTGCCTGATGATGATTTGCTACAGACTCTCCTTCACAGTCGTTCCCACCTACAAGGAGCCCGTCTTGGGCTGGTGCGACAACATGAACGGACCCATAGCCATCATGTATGGCACTGCCCTCGGCATAGTGCGCTTGATGTGCGTCGATAAGGATGCGAACATTGGCCTGGTGCCGGTGGACTACTGCGCCAATCTGGCTCTAGCCTGCGCCTGGAAAACCGATCAAAGTGCACACAGCAGCGGCGGTGGGGAGGTGGCAATGGGAGGTGGCAAACCGACCGTCTACACGCTGGCCCCCAGCGCAAAGAATATGATTTCGTTCGGGCAATACATTAATTTATCGCTTACATTTCGCGATGTTATGCCACTCTCCAAGATGGTGTGGTACCCGGTCCTTTATTGCGTCTTGAATCCATGGCTCTTCAGAATCGGTACCTTCTTCTATCACATGTTGCCGGGCTACTTTATGGATCTAATGCTGCGCCTCTCGGGTCGCAAGCCTCGCATGGTGAACATGTATCACAAAGTTCACAAGAACATTGAGCTTTTGGGTCCATTTACGAGAAGATCCTATGCCCTCGATACGAGTAACACCAATCGGTTGCAGGAACAAATGTCCGCCAAGGATCGCCTCACTTTCCAGTTCGACATGAACGTCTTGAATTGGGGAGACTACTTCAAGACGATGCTGTTTGGCATTCGACTGCACTTCGCCAAGGATCCAAACACTCCCGAGTCTCTGGCGCAAGCGCTCAAGCTGCTAAAGCGGTAAGTGGCAGAAGAAGATGGCTCTTGAATACTTAATTATATTTATACTTCCCCTCCTACAACATCCAGTCTCAAGCTAATGCACAACACTTTGAAGGTTTCGCTGGCGTGTGCTGCTGGCGCCATTCTGTGGTCACTCTTCAAGCTAATATTGAACTAGAATCCGTGATTAAATAGAGTTTAAAAGTCGCAAATTTGTGGGCAAAACCTCAGGGGGTTTTGTTGCTGGTTCATTATGATACAAAATCAAAATATGAAAATTTAACCGTCACCACGTTCCCCTCCCCACCCTTATTGACGGTCTGCTATCGATATTTGTAAGCAATAGATATTTCATTTCAATTAACTATCTATATTTCAAAAACTATCGCGAGGTATGTCGATTGTCGACCATCTCCATAGAATAAGCAGTGTAAAAAGAATCGGCGACACGACAATACAAATTAATAAATGTTCTTATTCTTATCCGGTGTAAACATTCTATTTTGGTGTTGTCGTCATTTTCTTTTGTTTGTACTCTAAATATTTGCCAATTGGACAGACAGACAAATCGATTGTGGATCGTGTGTGCTATCGAAAACCCCCGCTGAACAATCGAATAGCTTCCAATCGGCTGTACGACTAGCGATTGCATTTGCATTAATTAGAAGGGATTATTTGCGTTTGCATTCATTAAGCCCACGAGGAAGGTAAACTTGACGTGACCCACCCAGTGACTTTGCGACTTAATGCATTCGTTTCGCATTCGCAAAATCACATAAAAAGTGACGCGTGTTCTGCTGAATTCTCTAAGTACTTTTAGACATTGCCTACACATCGACTTGCCCTCAAAATGGAGTCTGGCATGCAAGGATTTTACAAGGATAAAAATGTTTTTATCACCGGTGCAACAGGATTCGTGGGCAAAGGTATTTCCATGCCTTACAAGCTCCATGTACAAATTATAATTACAATGCCAATTCTAGTTATAATCGAAAAACTCTTGCGTTCGACTGATGTGAAAAGGATTTACATACTGATTAGGGGCAAGCGTGGCAGGAACATTCGGGAGCGTGTTCTGGCATGGGAGAAGGAAGCGGTAGGCCTACTTATAAGTCTCAGACTCAAAGATCAAAGTATTATCTAACCGTCTATCAGCTCTTTAAGGGACTGCTGCAATCGAAGCCAAAAGCCTTTGAGTGTTTAATGCCCATCGTTGGAGATTGCCTGGAGCCGGACCTGGGCATAAGCGACACAGACCGAAGCCTGCTCTCAGCAGAGGTGCAAATTGTCATTCATGGAGCAGCCACAGTGCGGTTCAACGAGCCGCTGCACGTGGCACTGGCCATCAACACTCGTGCCACGCGACTCATGGTGCAGCTGGCCAAGCAAATGCTGCAACTTGAGGCATTTGTACACGTCTCCACGGCATTCTCGAACTGCGTAATCCATCACATCGAGGAGAAGTTCTATCCCGAACACTTGACTTGTAATTCCGAGAAGGTTTTGGAAATGTGTGACCAGCTGAGTGAGGAGCTGACGAACAACATGACGCCTGCCCTGCTCGGATCGTATCCCAATACCTACACCTACACCAAAGCCCTGGCGGAGGATGTGATACTGAGAGAAGGAAGCGATCTGCCCATTTCGATCTTTCGTCCAGCAGTTAGTAAGTGATTTGGGGCGAATATTAACTAAATTGTATGTTGATTAATTGCAGTCGGTGCCAGCCACAAGGAGCCCGTTGCTGGATGGATCGACAATCTGTACGGACCCATTGGCCTGATCTACGGCGTCGCTCATGGAGTCTTGCGCATTGCCAGCATCAACAAGGATGCTTCTGCCTGCTTAGTGCCTGTCGACTACTGCGCCAATGTGGCACTGGCCACTGCTTGGCAGACGTCCAAGAGCAGGAATCGCCGCGAGAAAGCGGCAGTGCCCGCGGTGTATACGCTGGCACCCGCGGCACAGAACCCACTCACTTATAGGGATTTTCTCAAGTATTGCCATAGCTGCCGCGATCAGTTTCCACTCACCACGATGATCTGGTACCCGTTTCTCAATTGCGTCACAACACCGTGGCTCTATCAGTTGGCTGCTTTCTTCTACCACACCCTGCCCGGCTATGTTTTCGATCTGGCACTGCGTCTCACAAGAAGGAAGCCTCGCCTGGCGGAGGTCTATCGGAAGATTCACCACAATATGGACATGTTGAAGCCATTTACGCACCGAACCTGGCAGTTTGACACCAAAAACACTGATCGCATGCGGGAGTTGATGTCCGCCGAAGAGCGTCGTGTCTACTACTTTGACATGGGGGCTCTGGAGTGGAAGGATTACTTCGAAAATGCACTGCTGGGCATGCGTCAGTATCTGGGCAAGGAAGCCAACACACCAGAGTCTATTGAACAGGCTCAGCGGCTATTGAAACGGTAATTTGGAATACATTTGATGTTGATTTTTGATGCCACAATCCAGCTTGTTTTTCAGCTTGAAGATGCTGCACCACAGCCTCCAAGTGACAGTCTTTTGTGTGGCAGGATTCCTGCTCTGGTGGCTACTTAAGCCTTTCTTTTTTTCCATTTAGTGTTCGTAGAGTATCCAATTGGTGTGTTGGAATAAATAAATATTTACCGTCCCAACGGTCACTTATTATTTGAGTCTCTTAATGCCAATCGCCTTTCCACTTAAACTGCCGAACTGAGCACAAAGAATCGAGAATATATACTCTCCCAAGTGTTTCTCCCATGCAACTTTTTAAACGAAATCAATTTGCTGGCAGATTGAATACACAAATAGTAGCAGGGGTGTTCTCGGTGTAAGTTGGCTTCTTGCATTCATTAATTTTAAATAAAAGACACATGACGGCTGACCCCTTGGATACAGTCCCCCGTTCGAGGCGCTGTTATGCGATTCCATTCGGAAATACGTAGCACAGCTACAGTAGACACCATCGCATGCAACACTTTTCTTTTGGGGGGAAACTCTGAGATCTGCATAAAATAAATAAATATTTGAGTACTGGAAAGTCTTCTAATTCTACCTTAATTATTTATGCGACTTTCTAGTTGTAATTCTCAGGTTCCCACTGTACAAAATGTATTTAATTCAAACATATAAAAAGGGCCACGCAATTGAAACTTTTTCTATTTTAAGTTTCCACTTTGGCCCGTGCAAACGCTTCGATCCGATCCACGATTAGTCCAGGGGGATTGAGGGAACTGCCAAATCAAAATGAAACTGGAAATGGAAATGGAAACCGAAATCCAAGCGTTTTACAGAAACAAAACCATTTTCATAACTGGAGGCACCGGATTCTTGGGAAAAGGTAAATATTCAACGAGATTCGGATACGAAATTGAAACATTTTTCGCTCTTTTAGTCATCATTGAGAAGCTTCTGCGTACCACGGAGGTGAAGCGCATTTATTCGCTGATTAGGAAAAAGCGTGGACAGGACATACAGGACCGTATAGCCTTGTGGGAAAAAGAGCCGGTAAGCCATTATTTATGCCATGAATACCCTCACATCATTAATGCCAATTTGGGGCAAAGATTTTCGAGTTGCTCTTACAGTCAAAGCCTGAGGCTCTGAGTCGCGTAGTGCCCATCGCCGGAGATTGCCTGGAACCCGATTTGGGCATAAGCGACACAGACCGAAAGCTACTCTCAGCCGAAGTGCAGATTGTCATTCATGGAGCAGCCACAGTGCGGTTCAACGAGCCGCTGCACGTGGCACTGGCCATCAACACTCGTGCCACGCGACTAATGGTGCAGCTGGCCAAGCAAATGCTGCAACTTGAGGCATTTGTTCATGTGTCTACAGCCTACGCCAACTGTGTGGTGGACCACATCGAGGAGAAATTTTACCCTGACCTTCTGACAAGCAGCTCCGAGAAGGTGCTGGAGATGACTGACCAGCTGAGTGATCAACTGATCGACAACATGACCTGCGAGCTGCTCGGATCGTTTCCGAACACTTACACCTACACCAAGGCCCTGGGCGAGGATGTGATCCTGCGGGAGGCGGGCGATCTGCCCATGTGTGTCTTCCGACCAGCCATAAGTGAGTGCTTGAGGATTGCCATCGGATGGCAAGGAGAAGATCCTTCTAACAAAATGTTTTCCACAGTAATTGCCACCTCCCGGGAGCCCGTGGCGGGTTGGATTGACAATCTTTACGGACCAATCGCCTTGTTATATGGCGTCGCCTACGGGATCCTGCGCATTGCGCTGGTCGATGTAAAGGCGCAGAACAGTGTGGTGCCAGTGGACTACTGTGCCAATGTGGCCTTGGCGAGTGCCTGGAAGACGGCAGCTGTGAGAACCGTGAGCTCTGCGCCCCCTCCGATCTATAATTTTGCGCCCAGTGAGGAGAACCTCTTGACTTATGGCGAGTTCAGGGACAAGACGCAGTCAATTGGCGAGAACTATGCAGTGTCGAAGATGATCTGGTATCCGTTCCTGCACTGCATGACCACTGCCTGGCTGTATCCCCTGGCTGCGTTCTTCTATCACACTCTGCCCGGCTTTGTGGTGGATCTGGCGCTACGTACTGTGGGCCGAAAGCCGCGCCTCTTGCAAATATACCAGAAAATACACATAAACATGAAGCTGTTAAGGCCATTTACATGCCGCAGCTGGAAGTTTGATGCGATGAACAGAGATCATCTGTGGCAATGTATGACGCCACAGGATCGGGAGCTGTACCACTTTGACATGCTGGCTCTGGACTGGGATGATTATTTTACGCGTGCCCTGCGCGGCATGCGGGTCTACCTCTGCAAGGAGCCACCCACTCCCGCATCCATTGCCGAGGGTCAGCGGATATGGAGGAGGTAACTGCAAGTGACACTTTTAGACATCCTTGAAGTAACTTTAGCCTCTGCTTTTTCACATAGATTTCACCTGCTGCATCGCACGTTGCAGCTGTTCCTTGTTGGCAGTGCTGCAGCTCTCATTTGGTCACTTCTCAGTCTCGTTGCATCCCTTTAAAACAAATACTTGAATCAATTTGAAAATATTTAAGCATTAAGCTAACTGGTACTCTATTTACATCCATTTGTACATATGTATATGCATTTATGTATCACTATGTAAAACACACAACACGCCAATCTAATGTGGGAGGGCTCGAATGGGGCCTGGCTTCGAGTACGAGTATTGCTGGGGCAGAGACTACGGCGGGAAGGAGATATAGAGAGAGAGAGAGAGAGAGACTAGAGAGAGAGAGAGAGAACTCTCTTTGACTGTGTAACGAACCCTTTTTCCGGGTCTCGTGACCTGTGCTGGGCTGACTCAGCGGGAAATTGGGTGGTTGCAACGAATTAATATTGTTGCCTCGATGACCAAGTAAAAACACATATGCAATATTAATCTCCATAGCTTAGCCTAGCTTATGGCTATGTTATCGCTGTCTTGGGACCTGCCGATTTCGGACGGTTGGCTCCGGGCGTTGCACGTTGGTGCCGCTGAACTGGGGCAATTGATCTTAATCCGCCACACCAATTCCGCACTCCAACGGTTCGCCTTTCTCTGTTGTTCACTCTGATTATGCAAGACTCGCTCTGGGCATTCGATGTCGATTCACTTATTCACCCGAACACTCGACCTAGCTCTTGGGCTTGCCTTGGCGGCCACCCTCCTTATATAGGCGCCGGCTAACGGTTCTCCCACGCGGTCAGTGTTTTTCCATCGGCGATTCTGATGCTTTCTCCCTTCTTCGTAACGGGACCCCGATCCCATGGCCATATTTGGGCATGCGTTGGTCCGCTGCCGGCCCGATCCCATCCTTCCACTCTCTTCTGCTCCGCCAGCTTGGGCTCCCCGCTCTCTGAGCGCCTCTTCCAAATTCGCCGTGTTCGGATATCCGAGCCCCTGGCTTTAACCCTCTACAGCCTGTGAGGGACACGTTCCCTCACAACTGTATGCCAGGCATGAAAACTCACCGCTAACTGCAAGGCCACACTGAAAGAAAGACAGAGGGAGAGAGTATATGTTTTTATTCTTTCTTTTAAGCTCAGCCGTCTCTCCAGCGGTTTTAATGAGCAATACCTTAAGCTAAAGCTAAGACCATAATATACTTTATAGATGCATTCATCTGCTTCTCAGACAGCGATACCTCTAAAGAAAAATCCGTTTTTGTTTAAATGAATTAAACCCAAAATCTTAAGACAAATTTTAAGCACTCAGTCTATCAGAAAAAGTCGGTTTGGAACATAAATAAAAACTTTAATTTTGTCGGGTAGTAAATAAAATGTTTAAATAAAAGAATGTATTTTGTTTTCTTCTTATTCTTCTTTTTTGTATCTTCTTATGCTTGAACCCATTTTTTTGTGTTATCTATGCACATAATGGACTAGAATGCGAATAACCTATGAGCCTATGGAATCCGTGATTTTCATTCAAGTAATTCAAGTATTATTAACACTGGTAAAATAATACCACAACATTTTTAAGTATCGCCGCACTCTGACTAATAAGTATCAGTCAGATAACAAAATACTCACTTATGTATAGCAGTTCCAGAGTCAGCTAATTTCATCACACCAAGTGATTACACCACCAGCAAATCGCTGTGGAATGATTATTTCGAGATTTTAGCATTAAAATCAATTCAAGAAACTTAAGTACACAGAGCTTAGCCATTCGGTTATCCGGGATTCGTATCAAGTATCCGGTATCTATCTCCGTGCGGTTTTCTCTCTTTAAAGCAACCTGAAACCTTCATCTTAAAATTGAATGGCACTTCAACAACTTTGACACTTCCTCCTGACCTGACCGCTGCCGATCGCTGGATTTATGCAATTAATCTTAGATCCATCGTCTGAGTCACTTTAGGTACGTTTCTAGAATCCCACATGCATAAGAGTATATTCTGTAGTATGCAACGTTATTGAGCTGGTGGAAGGTGATGAGCTTCTACGGGGCACGCGCTTGTTCCGGTATCGTTATCAGTCGGGCGATGGGGGGGTTAAGGGAAGGATCCGCTGCTCTATCCGCTCGTCTATATACATAAAGTTATTAAAATTCGCGTGCGATGAACAAGTCGGTTTATGAAACAATAGTGAAAAGAAACAGACAGAACAGAGACAAAACTCCTAGCTTCCAGACCTTTATTTTGTGGCGCAAGATGGAAATGCGGCCACGAATACCCTCCCTTCCATGATCGCTATAATCCGATAAAGTTATACGGCGATCCCAAAAAAAAGGTCTATGCCGCAATACCTCTGCCTACGTTCCCTACACGACGCATGACCCCCTCAAGTTAAGCGCAGTTAGCAGGAGTTCATATTAACGCTTATAGCTAAATTTATTCAACATCGCAAAACACATCCAAAAGTATCGATTTTACACTAGATTTTGAAACGACTTATGTCGATTTACCCAAATAAAAAAAAAGGAAAATAAAATAAAGTAGGAAAGAAAATTATAAAAATATATCAAAGAAAAAGTAAATGTATGTATGAATATAATAGGTGAAATGTAACATTAAATTAAGATACGATTATTGAATATGGAATATAAATGAATGGGACTAAATATAATAATGAAAAGCATATGTTCAAAAAAAAAGAAAAGAAGGAAAACAAAAAAAATATTTTTTTTTTTGTTGGCTAGTGTACTTTTCGTTTTAGTTTCTCCATGTAAGCAACTGCATGGAATGCATGGCGTGCACAAATTACAATAGCAGCAAAAGCAACAAAGCTCTGGCGCTAGTGCATAAACTTTTATGCGCTGGTCGGTTCGTCTAGCGGGAAGAACGCACCAAAAGGGAACAAAAAAAATTTGATCTTTTATCACTCACAGTTTGGTATGCATGTATGTATGCTTACAGTACTCCCTCGCTGAAAGGCCTTTCGCTGGGGTTTTGAAGAAGCTGTGGAATATATTAATTATGGTTCCCTGTTGGCTTTGGCCGACTGCACGTTATAGTTCAATATTTTTTTTTTCTCTTACAAACTTCTTTTTCCTTTCTTTCTTCTTTCACTAATGTCACATAATTAAGGGGGAATTAAAGGTCGTTAAATCAAATAGAATATAATAATAGAAAAGAGTATTAGCATTAACAAAATTTAAATTTAATTAATTATTAAAATAAAAGACAGTGCTTTAGGCTTTGATTGCAGCCTAAGATATAATGGTGGCCCTCTTAGCGGTACGACACTGTCGGCTGTGGCGCCTGCGCAGAGGTTACTGCAAGGTTACGTCATGGTCATTGTGAAGTTACATCATGGCTATGGTGTTACATAGGTTCTGGAGCCGGGCTTCCACCGGTCTCCCAAGAAAAATTCCCCACCCCTCAGCGTATTGCCAACAAAACGTCAATGCGCTGNCACCTGCATGGAATGCATGGCGTGCACAGAATACGATGGCAGCGAAAGCAACAAAGCTCTGGTGCTAGTACATAAACTTTTATGCGCGGGTCGCTTCGTCTAGCGGGACGAACGCACCAAAAGGGAACAAAAAAAATTTTATCTTTTATCACTCACAGTTTGGTATGCATGTATGTATGCTTACAGTACTCCCTCGCTGAAAGGCCTTTCGCTGGGGTTTTGAAGAAGCTGTGGAATATATTAATTATGGTTCCCTGTTGGCTTTGGCCGACTGCACGTTATAGTTCAATATTTTTTTTTCTTTTACAAACTTCTTTTTCCTTTCTTTCTTCTTTCACTAATGTCACATAATTAAGGGGGGAATTAAAGGTCGTTAAATCAAATAGAATATAATAATAGAAAAGAGTATTAGCATTAACAAAATTTAAATTTAATTAATTATTCAAATAAAAGACAGTGCTTTAGGCTTTGATTGCAGCCTAAGATATAATGGTGGCCCTCTTAGCGGTACGACACTGTCGGCTGTGGCGCCTGCGCAGAGGTTACTGCAAGGTTACGTCATGGTCATTGTGAAGTTACATCATGGCTATGGTGTTACATAGGTTCTGGAGCCGGGCTTCCACCGGTCTCCCAAGAAAAATTCCCCACCCCTCAGCGTATTGCCAACAAAACGTCAATGCGCTGCTGCTCTGGCTGAGTGTGGGGGGAAAGCGTAGCGAAGCCCAATCTTTCCGGGATTTCCGTGGATAATTATATTTGTCTTCGGTCGTGGATGGCGTGGATTGAACGCCAGTCCAAAAAGTTTGGGATTGCGTGGATTGCACGCTCGCCCAAAAACGTTGGGATGGCTCTAGGCCAGGTGAAATTTAAATTCACTGATATTTATATTCACTGCACGGCGTTCGGTTTTTAACTTTTTACTTTTTCACACACACGTGGTTGGTCGAAAAATTAACTCACTATCGGACGGGTCACGAACCGATCAGAATTTTAGATAGACGAAAAGAAGAATTTTTCTGGGGGCTCGTCCCGTTTAAATGCGATCGGAAGTGCTAAAACCGTGTTCTAAAAGCTTATGTTGACAGCTGTCATCAACGAAAGCTTCACCCAATCAGCTGATTTAACAGCTAAGCTTTGCTGAGCTAAGCTTTGATTCTGTCAGCATAATTTATCTAACTTTATCGCATGCGATAATATCATTCGCTGCTTGTAATTATTTTGTGTTCAGCTGCAACTCCCAGCGCCACTACAATTCTTATCTGATGGAGAGAATAGCACCGCAGACAGACTGTGTCAAGTTGTCGTACTTTCTCAACTGATTTGGAAATACAAAACTGAACACCTTTGGCGGGGCCTTAGCAAAGATTGTGAATCGCCCGCGATTGATTGTTATTAAAAAACTATAAATTTCTGTCATATACTTATCTACAGATTGGACTCATTTTTTATTTTTAGGATGGCAATAATACTTGTTTTACTCTTAACTACTTTGGTGGTAGCTGCTGGAGCAAAATATTACAAAAGGGCTGACGAGTGGACGGATACGAAATGTGGCTGCCCGATTAAAATCAGCTTCGATCTCCATGTAAATGCTGATTGCTCAGATCTGCCAAGACTGGACTTTGAATGTCTGGCAGAGTTGCAGCCACACGCGCTGGAACTATCTGGCAATGGTTTGGAGGAAGTTTCATCAAACCTCAATATGACGGGGTTTG